GCACCCCTTACTTTGGAGCACGACACTTTCCCTCGGAACCACAAACATCTCTGAAGAATTCTTTCTTTTTTTTAAACTTAACCCTTAGGATCACATTTCCAACTTCAAATTGAAATTCAAAAAGGCATCTCTACCGGGATTCGAACCCTGCATCCTTTACTTTGGAGCACAACACTTTCCCCGAGAGCCACAAACATCTCTGATGAACACTTCCTTTTTTTTAAAACTTAACCCTTAGGATCACATTTCCAACTTCAAATTGAAATTCAAAAAAGGCATCTTTACCGAGATTCGAACCCTGCACCCCGTAATTTGGAGCACGACACTTTCCCTCAGAGCCACAAACATCTCTGAAGAATTCTTCCTTTTTTTTTAAAACTTAACCCTTAGGATCACATTTCCAACTTCATATTGAAATTTAAAAAGGCATCTCTACCGGGATTCAAACCTTGCACCCCGTAATTTGGAGCACGACACTTTCCCACAGAACCACAAACATCTCTGAAGAACACTACTTTTTAAAAATCTTAACCCTTGGGTTTACATTTACAACTTCAAATTGAAATTTAATAAGGTATATCTACCGGGATTCGACCCGGTATCGACCCATATCTACCCTGCCACCCCTTACTTTGGAGCACAAACCTTTCCCACAGAGCTACAAACATCTCTAAAGAAGACTGCCTTTAAAAAAAAAATTCACCCTTAGGTTTAGATATACAACTTCAAATTGAAATTTAAAAAGGCGTCTCTACCGGGATTCGAACCCTGCACCCCTACTCTGGGGCACGACACTTTCTCACAGAGCCAAAAATATCTCTGAAGAACACTACCTTTTTTTTTAAACTCTTTTGTTTACATTTACAACTAGAAATTGAAAAAGGAGTCTCTCCAACCCAGCATCCGACACTTTCACAATGAGCCACAAATATCTCTGAAAGAGCTCTCATTGTTTCTATATATTCACCCCTTAGATCGGAGTTTATAAATTGAAACAGAAAAAAAGAGGACTCTTCGGAATTCGAGCCCACCTTCCCACATTTTCGAGCACAGCACTTCCGCAGTGGTCTACAAACATCTGTGAAGGAACTCCAATTATCGTTTTATACTTAATCCTTTAGGTTTTAGTTTATAAATCAAAATTTAGAAAAAAGAGTCACTCCGAGTTTCGAGCCCAGCACCCCACAATTTCGAGCACATAGAACCACACACATCTCTGAAAGGACACCGATTTTTTTTAATACTCAACCCTTAAGTTTGAATTTAAAAATTGAAATTCAAACGTTGTCTGTACTAGCGATTGAACCCATTTTCTGGCACTTCCACCATGCGCCACGAACAACTGTGAAAGAACAATGATGTTTGAAAAATACTTTACAATTGGGACTGAATTTATATATTGGAATACAACAAGGACGTGTTCCCAAATTGCGCCACAAACAACACCAGAAACTACACGCCAATTTCTTTCAACCAACAAATGTCTTGGATTGAAAAAGGAAGGTAAAGGTGATTTTCAACATCAAACCAACAGATTTCTTTCTTTGCTAATCGGGGAAGAGGCTAAATTTCAAAAGTTTCCGTTGTACAACAAAATTGCAAAAACACGGGACGTGTGCTTGTAAGTTAACAGTTTATTGCACCACATGCACATTTATTCGGAAAGTAGTCACCTGTTTTGGTTCTACATGTATTTTTCTGTACAATAGAGGGCAAACTGAAACAAACCCTGCCTGTACTTGTACATTACAAGCTCAAGCAACTTCGGATTTTAATTAAACTTGGCGACAAATGATTAAGGATTAAAACATGAGTTTTATTACATTGGTTGTTTTGTTTACTATTGATTGGTTGTTTATTCCATTCAAAAATTCAAAAAATGGCACGGGCTCTAGAATTGCAAAGGCTAGTATGTTGGGTAATTAAGACACGGCCTGACAACACAAGATTCTAAAGAATTATAACCTACTACTTTGTTGAAATATACACGTAGTAGTTAGTGCGATTCAAACCAAAAAAATGGAAATAAAGTTATCCCCCAAAAATATTTCTGCTTCCGATTACATGCCTCTCTAAATAGGATCGGTATGTGGGAATTTGTTTTGCGAGTGTGAATTTTTTGTGCCGATTGAATGGCATAAATAGGGACGAAAGCTACCAAAGCTTGCCACAAAAAGTGATAAAAACTTGACTAAATATAAACAAAAATTTCTACAGTCCACGAATTATGGACAATTCACACCACTGTGCACGAAAATACAGAAAATGAATACATAGACACGAGACTTAGTTCTGTGAATTAACTTGAAATCTTGTAACATCCATGTTTTTTGACGAACAGCTGTGGGGTTGCGTGCGTGTACGGCAGGTGTATTGTGTAACGACGCTTTTTTGACCGGGATGTATAAACTGGTTGGGTGGTCCGTGTACGTTTTGTCCATTGTTTTCGATATGAAAACGAAAATCAAACAACCAAAACAAGTTGTTTTCCGTTATTCGATTTCAAACCGAAAATATAACAATCGAAAAACAAGTCGTTTCTCGTTTTTCATTGAAAACGGGAAGCGATAATCACGTTCTTTTTTCGTTTTTTTAAATGAAAACGAACAACCACGTACTAAAATAGTGAAAAACAACATTTCCACTTTTCATAGCGTAATGTACGAAACGTCTTAGTAAGCCATCAAATCAAACATGGCTCAACGAGAGGAATACGAGGAATTTGTTGCTTATAAAAGGGGAGCAACTAACAAGGAAATTTCTGGCATGTTCAAAGGCAACTTTTAGAAGTGCTCAGAGACGTTGGTAACACCTCGAAATCACTTGGGATTAAATGGGATTAAAATTTAAAACAAGATATTCTTCGTTTTTCGTTTTCACAACGAAAAACAAGAAACAACTTCTTTGTCTTTTTCCTCACTTTTCATTTTCAAATCGAAAAGGAAAACGACGTGTTTTTAGTTGTGTGATATTTGTTTTCATATGGTCCGTGTACGTTTCGTTCATTCGTTTTTAACACCAAAAAACCCAAACCAAGACTTTTTCCGATGGTCGACTTAAAAGAAAAACGAAAATAAAAAACAAGTCGTTTTTCGATTCGAAAACACAAAATGAAAATCGAAAACCGAGCCGTTTATCGATTTTCGATTTAAAGACAAAACTTAAGTGAAACCATTTAAAAATGAAAAAGACAATCACATTCTTTTTTCCTTTTTAATGTGGAAATGAATAACATTGTAGGCCTGTTTGAAGATTAAAAAAATGCCATTTTCATTTTGTAAAGTAAGAAACGTGCTTGTAACCCACCAAATCAAACATGGCTGAACTACAGGAATTCGTTGCTTCTAAATTAAAGGAACAGCCCATAAGAAAATTTTCGTATTCTGAAGGCCACCTTCATCCTTAGCAGTGCTCAGAGACGTCCGTGGCGCCTCCTCGAAATTACGTGTGCATTCAAATTGGGGTTCATTTAAGTTTAAAACAAGATTCTTTTCGTTTTTTTGTTTTTCAGTTTCAACATTATAAACAAGAAACGACTTCTTTGTCTTTTTCGTTGGTTTTTGAAAATCCAAACAGAGTGAGTTTTATATTTTCGTTTTTCAAATAAAAAAGGAAAACAGTTTGTTTCAAAACAACAAAAAAACCTGTTTTCCGGTTTAAATCGAAAAATGCAAATCGAAAATGGTCGTTTCTCGTTTTTCGATTTGAAAACAAAAATATTAAAAACTGAAAAAATCGTTTTTCGTCTTTCATTCATACGAAAACTGATAATTACGTTCCTTTTCCTTTTAAATGCGAAGAGCGTAATTTATTGAGCTACTTTATAAAAAACAGTTCCATTTTTCATTTTGTAATGTAAGAACCGTCTTTGTAACCTTTCAAATTAAACATGGATGAACTAAAGGAATATGAGAGATTCGTTGCCTCAAAGGAGCATCCAACGGGGTACTTTTTCGCATTCTCGATCGAAGGCAGCTTAAATTTCCTTTCCAGAAGTGCTGACATCCGGGACGCCTCCTCGAAATTACGTGTGCAGTCAAACGACACTGGCATTAAATTAAAATTTTAAACTTAAAAAATGTATTATTTTAGTTTTTCGTTTTCAACAAGAAAAACACGAAACGACTTTTTAGTCCTTTCCCTCGTTTTTTGTTTTCAAATAAAAAAACGGAAAACGACTTGTTTTTGGTTGTTTGATATTCGTTTTCAAATCGAAAAACGAATGAACGACAGACCGACCTGGTTGCCATTTTCCATCACGCGTTCTTTTTGCATTGAGCTTTGTGCACGTGTTTTCACCCCTGCGACAGCGAAACGCGAAGGCGAAGGGGACTCGTGATAATAACAGAAGTTTCTTTCAAAAGTTGCAAATGTAAGAAGGAAAACACATGCATGTAAATAAAGCGTTTTAACGTGAAAAGTTGTTTAGAGGTGTTATATGAAGACAAAAAAGACAATCGGATCTGCTTTTCTAACTTGCCGATAAACATTTTGGGTTGCACCGAAAATAACGGTCGGTTGAGAAACCAGAAACAGAAGTATTTTGGGCCTTACTTGAGTTCAAAAGATACATTTTCAAGGGTTGTATTGACAATTACATTGCAATCATAGACCCTTTAATTCTAAACAATACAACACTTTTTAAGAAAAAAACAACAGTACTTAGATCTCTGGATCTTACCAATGGACGCCTTTTGAGAGGTTTGGTGGCGGTACACATACCGATCCTTTTTCTTGTGTTTCTTGGTTTCATTTTGAATATGAACACACTGGCTCTTACGTGATGCAAACAGTTAGGAAAGGAGTAAAAAATGTTTGCCGTCACCAAGGGGTTCAAAAGTCACCAAATATTACAATAAATATTCGTATTCCAAGAAATAGCTGTCAAACAATCGCATAGCCTCCCTTGGGGTGGCTCTTGCTGACTCGTTTTCTGGTTATCAGGGAATATATATCATTGCCATCTCATCATAAATATGGGTGATCATTTGTCGACATTGGAAAAATGAAATAAAACATAATATGCACTTGTGCGTCATTCAAGTATTATTTGAATTTGGACTTAAATGAAAATTTGCAGTTGGATTGAAATAACTAATTTTGGTTCTTTTGGTTTTATTCTGAGTATTTCCATATCCATGAGCAACACTGTGATGTCATCCATGGAAGAAAGCCTAAATGTTACATTGCTTTGTACACAAAAAGGTCATTAGTTTTTTGTAGATTTTGCTGGACTACATTTTCTGTTCTTTGCTGATTCATTGTTATAAGTGAGCACTGATGCTTTTCTCAGAAAATTTTTCAGTCAGCAGATTCTCGGTTAACAATTTTATATGGGTCATTCCATGAAGTTCGGGCACAGTTTGTGAAGGCGTCCCTTGTTACATCAGTAACTTTTAGTGCCGTTTATTTTCACATTGTATTGAACTTATGGCTGTGCATCAACATCCTCCCCCAATCAAAAAAGGGACCTTGGAAAGCTGCACATCTCCGATGAGAAATTCTTTATACTCACTGGAGCTTGAAGAAATCCTGTTTGGTTTTGAATTGCCTCAGAAGCAGCTTGAAGATGATGATGTTTTTAAAGCTGTGTGGAGAAAAAGAACATGTTACAGGATTTGTCATGTTGACTACCTACTCAGACAAGTAGCTGCTCTTTTGCTTTGTTTTAATATGCATGATGGCAGAATTAGTTTTAAATGTGACTACAAGTGGGAGTTCTGGTGGAAAAAATTGAACATGGCTGCTGTCAGGGCAAGTACCACTGAACACTGATGTCACGTGAACGAGGAAAGTCACTGGAGCAGGAGGGAGGGGTTTGAAGTTTCACTCATTATCTCGGAGTTTTCATTTCCTAACTTGTCCCACAGATGTCAGGTGGAATTTCACCACAAAAACCATCGATAATTGGCTTGATGCCTTCCTGGCAAAACTGCCCTCTTTGAACATGAAGCTCTACTATTATAAAATTGTGAATCAGTCCGCTCCTCCCCAATTGTTGCATACTTTTCCCAAGCTAAAGAAGCCTCCTTTCTCACACACTGGCGTAGCAAAGTAATATTGACAGGTGGGGGAATTAAAAAAGACACAAGCTTGGTCTTCCTGCTGAAAGTGGACATAACTTTTGTAAATGGTCACCAGGCATCCATAAAATTGGGGGAGGGGGTTGGAGAGGGGGATCGGCAACATCTTTTAACAGTGTCACAATTTTTGATGGTTTGTGTGAGATTGATACAGGGCCCTGAGTAAAAGGTGCACTTGTGAAAAAGCCACTTATTGGAAAATGTGCTCTTGTTACAAAATGTGTGTAGCAGTCCCTGTAGTCCCATGATGACGTACATGTAATACTCCTCTTCAAAGAATATCACGATAATAGTAAATATTATGTAGTCACACTTGCATGAGTAAGCATGGGGAAATTAACTGAACACACTGCTTTAACACTACTATAAGAGAAAGAGTCCTTTGGGGGAAGATGTTGCTAGGAAATGTGAATTTCTAACCAATTTGGCCGTTGAGAGGCAGTCAATAGGCAGTCATGTTAATCACTGAAGAGTTTAGTTCATTGCACATGTAGATGTTAAATTGTTGGGGAAGATCAGTTGATAAACATGATTGCTCGATTTTGTGCAATCAGTTGATCTTACTGACCAATTTGTCTAGAATTCTGCCATCAGAGAAATACCTTTTCCGTCTAATTCACAGTTGTGGAAGACGATCATTTCTAAAAAGAGAAGTAAAATTGGAGAATTCATGCAGAAAAAAGCAACTGAGCAGAGCAATCCGTCAATTGTGCAGATGGTGTGATAGTACCCAACATACAAGGTAGATACATGTACCACAGCACTGGTCCTAAAAGTTCCTGCTAAAAAAGGCCTTTGACCATGTCCCTCATCATAGACTTAAGTTAAAACACTATGGGATTATTGGCAACATTTTTAATTTGACATCCATTTATCAAAAATCTTCATCCAGGTGAAGGAATCGGGCTACATTCACTAATTCATCTTAGCTCGCACCTCTTTCATGTCTTTTTACCTCATAATTTCCCTAAAAATCAAAGCCCTGTACTCTTTCCACAAATAGCAAACTTTCTAGTTTGAAAGACCAACCACCGCCAACTTATCTAGGTGAGTTATTCTGTAAAAGCAGACTTAACTGTAAAAGTAACAAACACTGACATAGATAACATCCCTCTTATCTACTGTAGGCCTCCCTATGAACCCTAACAGTCCCAAATCCTCCAATTGCAATATGATTTTACATACCCTTTCGGGGGTTGGGTTGAACTATGTTAGGCATGTCTAAGTATAGACTAGCCCCAGACTGGGGGCCAGTCTACTGGACTCCCTCCGTATTCTAATCGAGTCTTAAAAAGCGATTTCGTAACGGGTGCATTCGGCTTAGACTTTGGTTTCGCTGGTTCATCAATGTACAAGCACCGTTCGAAACCACATGTTCAATCTCTGACTGGAATCAGCGAAACTGAAGTCTAATCCGAATCCACTCGTTTCGAAAACGCTCAGACCACTTGTGAACGGCATCATCATTTTTATCAACCATGCCCGGCTCGGATGTAACCCTCAATACCAAGGAATTTATAATTATGTAAATTTATCAATCTCACCATATCTTCCACCAAACGATTTCCTTTTAAAAAGAAACTTTGGGCGCCTTTCTTGCTAATCAGCTCAACAGAACCAAAGCACGCACGTCCTTTTTTGACGGTGTAGCACGTGCACAAAGTCACATTGCCACGCCCTCTGTTGAAAACGTTCTTTTTTCGACATAGTTACCGAAGAGCGCCCTCTTCTAGAGGACAAGCGAGAGGTTAGCAACAGCTGATACATTATGCTACTCATTTTGCTTGAGGAAAAGCACAAAGATCGAAAATGGTGAATTTTTGCTGTGTTGTCGGCTGCTCCAACCGCAGTAACCGAGACAGAGGGGTGTCTTTTTTCTGCATACCAACTGTTTTACTACACCACGGTGACCATTCAGCGTATCTTTCAAAAGAACGGCGAGAAAAATGGATCGCTAACATCAAGCGAGACGGATGGGTACCGTCCAAATCGTCGCGAGTGTGCTCTGCACATTTCGTTCGAGGTACTGGTAGGCTTATGTCATGACGTTAATTTTTAAAGAAACTTTCTGGTCAGCTTTGGACATGTTGGGTATATTGGTTACTGAGCAAGTGATAGGCGATTGTTTGTGTGTGTGTATGATTTTTTATTAAAATTCATTGTATTTTTAGGAGGAAGTGGGGTTAAACAATGGACATGACGGAAGAAGGAAAAACGTGTACATGATCATGGATTCAAACATGAACGTAATTTGGGGAAAAGCTTACTTGGTTGGTATTCAACCCAAAAGTTAGTCTTCATTTTTTTCTCTAAATTACGACATGCATTGCATGGCCATGGAAACTTTACAAAATGTTAGATTGCAGTGTTTGTATTCGAGTCCATCATAAGTCCCTTCATAAGGCCAGTAAAAGTAACAGGGTGAACAATGACAAAAACTGCTTGTGAATTGGCTTCAGACTGAATGACTTGTGACAGACTTGCAGGGATTTGTGATGGACTTGAATACAACACTGTTAGATTGTGAAGTTCCTACACATACATACACATCAGTTTCAAAAATTTTGCCGCCCGTGGACAGGCAGTTTCTAATGCTGCTAAGTAAATGACAAGCAGTTACTTACATCCTGAATGAAAACCTGTCCATGTTTCTTCAAAAATTTAGTAACTGTTATTTATCCATGCAGGAAAGCCAGCTTATCTACATGACACCAGCAATCCTGATTGGGCTCCTACTCAGAACATGGGTTACTCAAGATGTGAAACGCGGGAAGCATCAGAACATCATCAGCAACTGACAAAGCATAAAAGGAAGGCGGATGACATGGCAACAGCTTCAATACTACTTGAGCTACACAAACACCATCAAGATGTAGGCATCACAGAACAGAACACATTCACTGAGATGTCAGGAGTCAATGTACAAACAGAACTTACAATGTGTGACATCTCTTCACTTGAAGAGAGAATTAAACAGCTAGAAAAGGACAATATTGCTCTGAGGGGCCAAGTACATGAGCTGGAGGAAGGAACCAAACAAACAGGCCTGCAAGAACAAGACTTTAAAGATGATGATGCTAAGCTCTACACAGGACTTCCTTCATTGGGATATTTGCTCAATATTAAGCCTCGCCCCATTGTGTTCTGACGTTGTGTTCTGTACAAAAGTCCGACGTGGGCACATGTGTATGATGTGCGCAGCCGCCACAATTTTGTAGTGTGGCATTGGAGAATATGTATCAAGTACAGGTCTGCGTGTACAGTGGGCAGGGCCTACCGGATTGGTCTATTCCAATGTTAAATGTTGACCAATGCCAACATACTAATTTTTCTTTTTTGTTGTATTTTTAAAGTTATGACACAATGAAGAAAGACCAATCTACGATCTCATTCTGCACCAGTTGCTAGGAAAGTCATCGGCAACATGGGTGGACATGGGGATTTTTCCGGGGGGGGGGAATGTCGGGCCTGTCAGATTTGTAACAACAGAGCGGGCACAAACGGTAACGCATTACAATGTTACTGATGCGCTTACCTTTATACCCATCGTAGGATGTCGTTGTGTTTATTATTACTATAATTGTTATTTCATTTTAGATACTTTTTCTGGATCACAGTCGTGGATAGGCGTCAATGTTGTCAGCCACGTTCCCCAGGGGTCAAGGAGACCTCCGTATGACAACTCTATAAAATATCTTTGATAATGATAAAACCTCATCTTTGAACAGCTACTCTGTGGGCATTCATTTAAAATGGTAATATGAATAATACTATCAGTGTAATCAAGACTAAATTCAATTATTTCATACTGTCCAGGTTTATTAAATTACGGATAACAAGAACAGCTGGCTGTTGCACTTGCTTTGAATTTTCATGTGATGTGTTCATACTTGTAAGCATTTTCTGCTGAAACCAGCAACATGCTGTTTTCATATTATACAAGATGCACCATCATTCAAGTTAAGCGTAAATCCATGAATTTTCCAAATTTTCACAAGTTTGTAGCAAGTAATGGTTAAACAGCATCCAAGAATATTTCCAGTAAGCATTTCATAAGTATTCAGTCTGGTTGCCCAGAAGCAGAGTCTGATTGGATTACATAATTGGTAAAGATATTAAAACAGAAATTCAAATTCCTAAATTACTTCAACTATTAAACAATGAAAAGTACATATATACCCTATCCAGTTCCGCAATTTTCAACCATGCCTATTTCCCCATGTATATGTAGAAAAGAGAGCCAAGATTATGCACACGATTCAACTTTCTTTTCCCAAACAAGCCATTTCTAGGCTGATTAAATTCAAGACTGTGAGAACCCTATTACCAAGTGGCCACTTTCAAAACGTTGACATCATCGGCTAATTCTTCCAGGTTTTTCAAATGTCTTTTTCAGGGGAACTTTATTTGTTTCATCACTTCTTCAGGGCTGACTCTTTTCAGGCAGAAAGAGCATTGGGCATAATTATACCCAACTGAGAATTGGACATAATTATACCCAATAATTTCAACAGAGCTGGTAATGAACTAACTGAACTGAAAGCCTCCCTGTTAATCTCCCTAGTGGAGATTTCAGGAGAAAATTCCACAAAGTATCAAGTACAATCAACCCCCAAAACAGTGAACATTTTGCCCACTAACCTGTTCTTGCTAACTTGATAGGTTTGTGGGTTTGATATGTAACAGTGATATATCCAGAAGGATGGGGCACCCCCCCCATTTTTTTTTCTTCAGAAATTGAAAGCGCAGATTTGCAGGAATGGTGCTACCTTGGGGAGGGGGGGCTGAGGATTCTTCGACCAATGAAAAATTTGGACAGTCATTTTAAGAAAATCATGTCCCCTCAAAAATGAAAAAAAGAGAAAAATTACCAGACACTGCCAAAATATCCAGAATTTCATTGTTTTAACATCCCTCCATTGCCGCTTAAATAATTAAACCACTACGATTTAACTAAAATAACCGAAATAATCAGATTTCTTACATGGTCATCTTAAATTGTCTATGTACAGGGAAAAATAAAACTTCTGAATATGTAGAAATCAAAGACACTTTAATTTTTACACACCTTGCACCAGTTACTCATCAGACAACCATTCTTTCATCCACAAAAAAATCAATTTGATATATAATATACATCAGACACATGTTTTAATGTTTGAGAAAAATGAAATATTACAAAACATGCATTTAGTCTTACAAGAAGACTTGAGAAATGAATACTCCAAATTTAAACAATCCATTCTGTCAGCTGAGAACTTGTTTTATAATATGGAGCGAACTAAATATCTGCTATTATATGATCGAAAAACCTTGAAGGAAGTATTGTACGTGTATCTTCAAGAATGAGCAAAAACTTTAAATATTATCAAGCTATTGCAGGGGCAATATAATGGCTAGCATAATGGGTAAATATACTTGACACAAGCAAATTAATTTTCATTGTCGACTATGGTGTTATAAGGCAGGTATGGCATTTTAACACTTTTTTTATCAAACAATTGAGGCTTTACGTGATAGCCATCTAACAGGACAGTTCGTTTGCTCCACAGGGTATGCACACAGGAGGTTTCCCTGTGGAACAAAAGAACTGCCCTGCAAGATGGCTACCATACAAAACCTAGTCTATATGCACATCGTACGAGAATATCTGGATTTTGGACATTCACGTGACATTTTGCGTAGGCCATATTTTCCCCCTTCCTTTGATGCCTTGAACACTGTGCCTAACATCTGCTTAGACACCTTTGACTCCTCCAAAGTCTACCACTATGTAGAAATACAATGGCACATTCTTTGTGCTGGAACATTCCGTAGGAATCAAGAAAATGTAGATCAATAACAGCTCGTTTCCACCTCCAGAACCCCCTCCCCTTAAAAAGGAAGTAAAACCTTCCAAATATCCATGTGCACTTCAAAGGATTTGAAATTTGAAAAGAGTGAGGGTTAAGGAAGCAATTACAACTAATAAAAGCCAACAAATCAAGTCTTTATTTTGGGCTTATAATTATATTTGGGTATAAATTTTCGGCATACCTGACCATGACCAATTTTATCTTTTTGAGGCTTTTGTTACAGACTAAAGCACTGCTGGTTTGTCTTAAAAATAAAATTGCTAGTTGAAAAAAGCATGTTGACTCGTGATTCAAACATTTCTGCTCAGTTCGAAAAAGCCTCACATCTCAAGAAAGCCCGGAACATAGACAATTTGTAAAAATCTCACTATAAGCCTACAAAGAATTTTTAACATCCAACCAAAGTTCGTAACAGCCAAATACTCAGATGCTGTGCCAGATGATGTGGGGTGTGTGCAGTCGCAGTGGATAGGTTACATTGATGGAAGTGTAACCTCATTAATTCAGTACCACAGACTAAGACAGAAGGTGTCCAAGTCAGGGTTTCTCATTTTTTGAGACAAAGCTGTCCAGAATAGCTTGCATTGTGAAAATCAACATGAATAGACAGCCTTTTTTCATCCAGCATGATCACATTTGTCAGAATATTCAACGCTTCTATTAGTATGTGATTGGAGGGGATAAGTTAAAAATGAGATATGAAAGCAACTTAACCTTTTAAGCCACAGCAAAGTGCATCTTTTTAACACTTTTCACTCATCTTCACACGCCTACTGTTGTGGATGAAGACTTCAGTTTCTGCCATTCCTTGGTTGCTTTATTAGGAAGGCCAATAGCAATACCTAAAGCTGCCACATTTTGAACTCCCTGCAAGGAAAAGAAAAAAAGAAAGAAAATTGACAAGGCTACCATTCCTGATAGCGGCACAGATTTATCTGCGCTTTTCAGCGCTTAATATCACTTGCAATTGCTTCAACAATGCATAAAAGACAGTGTTTTGAGCTCCAGTTTCCATGGAAACTCCAATGGTAATCAGTACAACCACTGGGACAAGCTTACTTTCAAGAAATCGCAAGCTTACCTTCAAAAACTTTGTGATGAAATAAGCAACATGTTTCACACATGTCACCAGCTAAGCCAGCACTCTCCCCGTCCCCGCCAGCTCAGCACTTGCACAGGCACCAATGCCCATGTTACTATCTTTTCAGGACATTTGCTTTACATTAAAGCAAAATGTGTTAGGTGAAAATGTCTTTTGTGTTACAGACCAATGGGTTTGTGATGTCTGTGTCCTTGAGCAGGCCACAGTGTAACAATTGCTTCAACATGTATACCTGAACAATGGCGGCTAAGAGACTCTTTTCATCCATCATGGCCAAGGCATACTCCTGGTGAATTCCCCACTCCTGGGAGGCAACGCAAAACAAATAAAAACCTCACATTAAAGAAGACAGTGCTTCGAGCTGTGTGTTACATGGAAAGTTTGGGTGATGTACAATAGTTAAACAATACCTGAATATCAGAACTCAGTCACCAAATCAAGTTCATGGGTTTCTGTAAGTTTTTGAAAATCCAGTAAAAATTCAGTCTCAAACTGACTTACGAGAGCAAGGTTCTCGGCTTGCATGAACAGCTCGGTAAGAGCTCGCTGTAACGGCGGTAGCGTGGTGTATGCTGCGTCTGGCACCAGCTTCTCATTCATAGAGTCCAGCAACCTCAGTAAGGGTTTCAGAAGACCCAGGTCAGGGGCTGTTGCCACGTCGATGGTCGCCGACTCGTTCACTAATTTGGCACTACCCAGAAATAACGGTCATTTACAGAGAGCTTTGAAAGATCGCTATTAGTTATTTTTTAACAACACAGAAAAACTAGCATGTGAAATCATCTAGCTGCCAAGCACTGCAATTATGGCAGCAATTCAACTTAGCTACAGTTCTTGACTTCCAAGACAGTACTGCTTTATGTTTCTGCTGCATTTTTGCGTAACTTAGTAGCTGAGCATAATTAGTCAAGAAGGTGGGATCTAAAGGATCCTTTAATGTTTAACAGGGTGAAGAACAGAGCAGCAAAGTGTAATCTTTTGCACAGACAAAATAATCTGAATTACTTTGGCAACTAAACAAATTGCACTGGGTCACTGGTAAAGCCTTCTCACTACTTGTGTCTGTCACTGACTCTGCACACTGACAAGCAGTGTAACAGTTTCAAATAACACTGAAAGCTAAACATGCAACTCAAGCCCAGCTGACCGAAACAATGACAAAAATAATTCTTTGTAGCCAATGAGTAAATTTTACAAACTGAGTGACAGTGCAAAGTTGCATTACAGTTTTGGGTGAATCGGGACTGTCAAAAGGGTTCAAGCCACCATGAGGCTTAAACTTGTCAACGTAAACCAGTTTGCACACATTAAATGCACTTGGCCTTTGCCTCAAGCAGCACCATTCTCGTCCACTACTTTTATCCTACAGGTAGTTAACTTTCCCTCACATGCATTACATGACGGGACCACACAAGACCATACCTTGTGAGAGTGTGCAGAACTTGTAGGAGTATCTGGACTGTCTTGAGTCTGTACTGAGCCGTCTGCCGACAGGCTACGTGTACCAGCCACGCCCACAGCTCCTTCAGGGCAATGTGCCTGTATTACCAATGACATTGTAAATACGGCATCCAGCAAACTGACACATGGAAGCTCATGGGTTGGGAAAGGGTGGGGTGTGGGTTGCGTTGGCTGGTGTATCCAGCCATCAATCCACCATTGCCCCCCCTCCTTGCGGCACTCTGCAAGGGAGTCAGGCTGGTCCTTTCCCCACCTATCATCTCCGCAGGGCTCCGGTTTGAATCCCACCAAGGACAACATGAGGATTAGGTTTTCACTCCCTGCCCAGCTCTGTAGATTTCGTCGAAAATATTCTCAGATTTTCCTGCCACCACTAACACTGTAATTTATTCTCTACAAGTTTCTTCAGGTTTCCCAGCTACAGTTCCTGAGGGGCTTTTGAGGAATCCTTGTTTTCATTAATACCAGAAACAACTGATCATACCTGGTGAGTTCTTCTTTTGACAGCACCGTGTTTAGAATGAGGTAGCCAGTGTCAAATCTGTGCAGTGGAGTAAAGAAAAAACATTTGCAACAGTTAAGCAAGCTTCCCAGGTTAGTTAACTTGCAGCGTTTAAACATCGCCACTTTTGTGGCTTCAGATCTGCCGTATTATGTCTCTGTGCTTTATTAAAATTCAAAATAAATGAAATCTGGCACATCTACCCTTGCTGTCAAAGAGAACATCCCTACGGAGTCTCTTCAAGCTGCTACTGCACATTTCTAGCCAAGGATAACAAACTGTGACTATAAAACTCAACTTTGCTTGTGTAAGAATCAAAATACAAGGCAAATTCACAGCAGTTTTAGTTCTCTGTAAACTCTGAAACCTTGACACTCTTTACAAGGTGAGAAACCTCACTGACAGTTCAGTAAAAATTCAATTAATGCAAGCACAAAGAATGAAGATTAACGTAGTGAGACCAATTTCTTCTTCGTGTACACAGGTTATGCGTTGCTGGCATTTCTCCATTCCATGGTGTCTCAGAGGCTGTTTTTGTTATTTTAATTTTGTTCACCAGGAACGCACAAAAGGTTTCTTTGTGCCAAGTGATGCAAAGCTCTTGCCCTCTGAGGACATGTTAACTCGTAACCTCTATACAAAAAAGATATCCGTCATTTTCAAAGATCTGAAGTTTTGAAATGATAGTTTGGCCTTCCGTCTTACCTTCCCAGCCTATTGCCAATAACTGTGAACTTGTAGCCCCAGTCATTGTTGCTACGATCAGATACAAACTTATAATGAAGCACATCTCCTGAACAAAAAAATAAAAAATTATGCAAGTTGAAAAACTGTACTACATGTACCTTTAGACTGTTCTGATGGATATCTTGTGTACTTTGTTTTTTACAGTGAAATCAGGTGCTGTTTTCACTTTCTCACGTTGGTCATCAGTTAACTAGATTGATGAAATTTTATTCAAATTCAATTACACACATACTGATGGTTATGACACCTGTATTTTTTAATAAATGAATTGATGTCTGTGGGACAAAAGTCCTCAAGATGTCCTCATTTGTCCTGGCAAACACTTTCTGAAAACTGTTGCTCCTCAAGCTCAGTTCACACAAGATTTTGATTGTCTAAAGTTTTCAGTTTTTTTGGAAGCATTTACTGTCCGGTATTACTGCTCATACTGAAAATACTCGACAAATCTTGATATTTCAATGTGTTGGAGCTCTGTCAGAGATCTTAAAAACAATGTGCTTGAACCACTCATTTTGTAAAACACTGAGGCTGTTTTCAAACCTCCATGGGCAAGTTCTGAATGCGAACCACAGTTCAACTACTGGTCAACTGCTTTTTACCAATGCATACAAAATACAGTCACACTTGAATGACCATCATCAATCCGTTTTGTGAACTCTCACCGTCGATCCTACTTTGGCTGCACTTCTTGTGCTGTTCACAGTTAATGACGTCTCTTACAATTATTTTCATGTTGAATGGTTCCCTCTATACTGATAAATGAAATTGACCATTGATAACCAGCGATACGACCACGCCCAAGAACCTGGTTCCAAATGGTTGACCAGATGATCCAAACCTTCCATTGTCATGGGTGATGTCTCAACTATGGTTACCAAAGTCATCATTCTAACATGCTGTAAGATGCCAGCCAGACCAACCTTGCATCTCAAAGTCCGTCCAATTCTCTCGGCCTCCGCTGAACTCGTGCTTGTCATGCTTAAAGTTTGGGTCCGAGGCAAAGGTCAGGATATCACATTCGCTCTCGGTGCTGCATCGCTCGTCGAACCTGATGCTCAGGTAAGTGGCGCCACGTATCATCACCTGATCCTGAATACAAGAAGATAACACAAACAGTAAATGACTTCTCAATGATGAAGTTATCAAAGTAACCTTTGTACCTGAAATAAGTACAGTGCCAAACCTACTACCAAAACCTATGATGATAGTGTTCAACGCACTGATTCTAAGGGGTGAAAGTGTACATTTCTTTTGTATTTACATTGAGCATTCTGCATATATGCATGGAAACTTGTTGAAAGAAGCTGTAATTTAGAGTCTGCTTAAAGACAAAAGTACAATTCAATTTAAAAAAGCATCATCCAGATTTCAATGGATCTCCTTTTGCTCTGGTGCCCACCTCTTCCTCTGTGTTGTTCTTGTATTTGTGTAGTGACTCCTTAGTGACTGGTGCCATGCTGGCCTCCTCCATAAAGGTACAGGCTGCCACAGTGAGGGGAGCCAACAGCTCTGGCTCACAGTGGCTGACAATGTTGCATACGACCTACAGAGGAAAAATTGGTGGTTACCAATGAGCAATACCCTACTTCATGAGCATCACTTGCAAAGATGGTGTTGTAGTTTTTTTTAATCACATACTCTTCAGTGTTGTAGCCAAGACCATTTGTGACCATCACAAGACCCCAAAAGACCAACATAGGACCTCCATTCTGAATTCCGAGTTCCAAATTATTCAAAGGTAACTCCAGATTTTGGGGGTCCAAAAGTGTGACATTTTCGTGTCCCTGTTTCATCTGTTCTTTGTTATCTGACATGATAATATTACCAGAATTGATTTCAAACTAGTACTATTTGTTTGGCAGGTAATTTGCATCAATTCATCACACTTGGAAATTAGAAAATGTGTTCTGAACTTACAAAATCATGTCAGATATGACAGGGACATGAAAAAAATGGACCCCTAATGTCTGGAATTACCCTCAAATGAGTTGGAACAAAACTGCAACAAGTGCAACAGAAGTATTCCTTTGTCACTATTCACCCTGTTACTTGTGACCGGTCTTGTGATGGTCTCAACCACACCCCTAGTATCATTGTTGACTTGCTTCAAATCAGGAGACAAAGTATTTTCAAGGGACAACGATACGTAATTCCATTCCACACTCCATCAAGAAATCTAGCTCTGTATTTAAGTTTAAAGCATTATTTACTCTTCTGTAATACAAGTGGAAAGCTGAAAATTGGTGTGAGGGCTAAAACTTTATTTTCCTTCATTTGGTGAGTCAAAGTACATTCAGGAAGTTTTTCAGGCAGATCTTGTTTAAATGAGCCAGTTCAGCACTCCAACAGAGCATGGCCAAACTGAAGTGCGTCCGAGACTTTTCAGGAACAGCAGCTTTTGTGTTTGAAACTGTCTGGCCTATCAGCGCAGCCATACCATGACTTTTTTGCACGCTTCATTCCTGAAAGGCCAGCTTTTATGAAATACTAAACTGGCTCGTTGGTCTGGAATAACCCAATTACGACAGAGGCTGAGAAGAGTCTGGATAGTTTGTCAGACCAACCTTGTTGAGGATTTCCTTCTCTTCTCCTCGTTGGAGCAGATCCAACATGCTGACAATCTGAGCAGGCTCCGTGCAGCCTAAGGTGGATGTACTGATGACACGGCCTGACGGCCAGTCAGCAAGCAGTGCTGCCAGCAGGTGCCGCGCATACATGATGGATATTGCATAGTTAACCTAAAAAAAGAGGGTGTTCTCTTTTAACACTAATGTTTTTCTTGTAAAGATACTTGACGTGCATTCCATCTTCACAGACATCAGCCTTGTCCTATGTAATTGGATAAATTTTACATTTTCTGAATTGTTAAAGTCTGTAATATGATGAATAAATAACGATAAAAAAACCACTGAAGACACAAGTTAACTGTCTATCCAGCATGAGCTGGTCAAAGACTACGAAGTAGAAAAATTGTTTTACAAATTTACATATGAAGCTAATTTCCTGTATTTTCTGGTGCTCGTTTGTGCACATTTTTCTCAGCAGCTCAAGAATGTGGTCCCTGTCTTGAGAGTAGGAAACAAAATCAGTCCCTCGATATTGTTGGAAACGTGTCCTCCGATTCCACATAAACTAGAAAAGATTTGGTGAAAAGACTTTTGAAAGTTTCTTGAATGGTTGAAATGGGTAAGGATACTTAAGTCAATTGGCAGTAAGGTCTGAATGAATGGTGCTACTTTTTGTAGAAATATTGACAGATTTATCTTTTCTGGTGGTTATCAGTTCTGATGAACAGCCAAGTTCCCCGCAAATTCTCCTTTATGAATAGAACAAAGAAACAACATAACAAATACTTTGTGCAGGTGTTCCCTGGAAGGCATCTTGTCCATGGAGTGCAGCTCTTTCTTCAGCAAGGCAGCACTCCGAGACCTCTGCTGCTTCTGGTAGTTCTGTAAAAGAGAACACCAACTACATCTTTATGTTGGATCCCGACTTTTCTTTGAAATTAACCCTGAAGGCTTTGGAGCTGTGCACATCATGACCCTCTGCTGCTGAAAAGATATCCTGTATTTGTTGGACAAGGATAGTAGTTTCCACTGTGGGGCTGGTGGCTGTATTTGAAAACGCCTTGAATGATATGCTACCTCTCCTCTTTTCTGTAAAACCATTGTCATTCTCACCTCTCGTAGTGACTTCTCAGAACTCGCAATGAGTTTCAACGAGCCATCCACACAAGGCTCCGGTTCTGCTTGTTTAGGAGTGACAGCCGGCCTGAGTAAGAAAAAAAGGCCATGGTTATTAAGATCCAGGCACAAGCTTGTTGCAAGGTCAAAAATTGGATGTTGTCCAAAGTGGTTCCTGATGACACAGAGTACTGTTCATTTGCCGCAGACTGTCAAAGATAACAAAAGAAATAGTAAACCAGATATGGACGATTGAACCTTTTTAAATTGTACAAGAGAAGTGACACGATCATCAGCTGTGGCAATGATCCCTATACTTCTAAGAAGCGGAAGCCAATTGCGGCAAATTGTCTTGCTTGAGGACACAAAATATCAAACACCTGAGTTTGAGCTAGTATTTGAAGGCCTCTAAAACATGATTCTTTGATGGATCCCCAGGTTTAACAATAACCTTGAACTTCAGAAAGATTTTTGTAACATACTTCGGCAGTGAGCTGGACGCACTGAACGAGACTACTCCAGAGTCCACTGACTTGAGGTCCAAACGTGACGGCTTCTCGCCAGTGTTTCTAATTTCCCATTGCTTTGCCAACTCTTTGACCTCACTGCTCACGCCCGGTGCATCATCGTCCAGAAACCTGGATGAGTATTGGGAGAAGGAGACAGATGCTCATTAAAATGAATTAAGCAACGCCTCACTGGGATATCTGGTTTAGCAGAAGAATATAAAGGAACTTGTCACAAGGTGGACAAAACAGAGTTCCAATTTCAAGGCAAAAACTCTTTAAAAAATTCAGCCGAAGCTGAGCAGGTACATGAATAACATTACCGTCACATACCTGGAGCCCATGCTCATTAGGCCCTAGGAATTTGCTCCAGAGATATGCTCTACATACCATGTTCTATTCCACGCTCTAGAGTGGGTTTGCATGGCTGTCATCTTGCAGGCCAGTGCTTCTGTTTCACAGGGTATACACAAAGAAGGTTTCTCTGTGGAACAAAAGCCTGACCTGCAAGATGGCTGCCATGCAAAGCCCTACAGAATATCCAGAATAAAAAGTGAGCATATGTGGCTTGTTGGTCAAGCAAAGGTTGTGGGGAAAAAATGTAACATGTGCAAGCACATTCTGTCACAAAGTCTGCGTTCAAATTACTTGGCTTTAGCTGCAAATGTCACACATGCCTATAGAGGCTTTGCGTAAATGCCATCTGGCAGGGCAGTTGTCTTGCTCCACAGAGAAACCTGCTTTGCGCATACCTATGGAAGAAAATCACTGGTCTGCAAGATGGCAACCATGCAAACCCACAACAGAAGTTGTTAGTGGACTCGTGCATATTTCATGGACACCTATATTATTTCCAGCAACAACCATGTAATTCAGATGCAGCCTGAAATCTAATGTTACAAGGAATCAACAGCTCGCTTAATTTAAGTCCCCATGTGAGCCAGACTACAGTTTTCCTGTTGACCTACCACTCGTGTATCTTGGCCTCCATAGCCTCGAGGCTGTGACCAGACTTCTCATAGATTGCTCTCAGTATTGGGAGTGGGGTCTGAAAGGCATCATTGGTCACCTGAGAGAAAAAAAAGACAACTTGCAGAGGAAATTTGGTATTTTAGCATTTTTTTACTCGAATAAAACTGACAGTAATAAGTTACAGACACTGACACTTCTTTGAATATTTGGCAACTAGCCACAAGGCCAAAGATTGAGAATGGATCTTTTGCTAACCACTGGTTTGTTTTGCCCGGTACTCAGGGTGCATTTTGTGCATGGGTTACCAGGCAAAAATTGGCAAGTGGTAGACAAATGGTCTTTGCTCAAACGTGCACTTGGATTTAATTTTGTGACTATTTTCAAAGGAATTCCTACATTAGAATAGGCTATGTGACACTTTGTGAAAACAGCAATGACTTTAAGAAAACAAAGAAATCCTCCGCAACTAACACTGATAAAGATTTTGGCTTTATCCTCTAGTCCCTCCAGGGGATCCAGGCCCCCCTGGGATGAAGTGGAAGATGCCGAGATCCTCCGTGGAGAGCCAGAGGCGGAGGGTATGTCATCCGGTGTGGCATAACCCGAACCGCTGGAGTTCGAAAGAGTAGATGAAGAGTGGAGGGTGGAGTAGGAGTCGTTGTCACTGTCATCACTATCGTCATCGCTGGTGTCTTTATCGCCTTCATCACCATCATCTGGGGTTGTTAGCTGGTCACTGTCCATAAAGGCAGTGGGGAGATCGGTTCCGGCCGAGACTGTTGTAAATCCTGACTTGCCATAGGCGTAGAGTCGAATGGACAGGATCTGGAGACAAATTCAACATGCAATTACAGCTGGCAAAGAAGAAAAACTTACAAGGGAAAACTGGCAACATTTCCAACGGACTATGAACAATTACCTTAACAATATTTTCTAAATTTTTGACAACATTCATTAACCCAACAGTCCTCAATCCTCCACTTTCAATATATTTTTGCATACACCCTAGGGGGTTTAAGTTAATGAAAATGCTGACACTTTCCCAGAATTTCTAATAATCTAAGAAAGGTTTTAATGTATCATCTGAATTTTTACAAATCCTTCAATAATACAATTTCAATTTTGAATATGCACCTCCAAATCCCTAAGGATCCACTGTCGGCTGAGTTTGGTTGCCTGACTTGCCAGATGTACAAGCAGGGGTATTAGGTCACTGTTCAGAAGCTCCAGTCTACCATCAGCACCACTGCTCCCCTGAAATTGATGGCAAAACACCCAACTCAACTAAATACAGCTGTTACACTGTCTGAAAGTATGTACAGATCAATGATATATTGAAAATACACATAATTATTTAAACTTTTGTAAATTTGCTCCATTCTGGGTCCATTTTTGAAACTAAGCAATATCAGGATTACTTGGCTATAGCTTGAAGCAACATAGAGTACCAAAGTGAATAGGTCAAATGCACAATTGCATGTGCATAAAAAGCATTAGGGTGAGAACACGCGAAGCAACTATCGTGCGTACTTCATTCGTTTGCACTACACCTCTTGGTTCAAAATGACTTCACACTTCAGTACTCTACAGTCACATGTGGGAAATGCATGAAGCGGCTGCCTGACGGTTTCCATAAACACATGTGCGATTTGTAACCACAGCCAGAGTATTTGGACGGGGCCCTCCACTGTTTTCACTGTGGTTTCAAATGTGGCTAGATTGAATAAATTGCAAACTTAAGTGCTCAAACCAAATGAGACCATTCGAAACTTGGGCTTTGTACTACACGCTTTGGTGTCTTTGTGGTAGAAAAAGATCAGCACCAAGCCAGAGTTTCTAAAGTCAGGGCTCGAAATTGTGAATCCAGGGGTGAGATTGAAGGAGAGCGAAATATCCTCGACTTAATCACCAGACGTTGTAAGTGCTCCACAGCAGTGTAGGGTCCGTGGTTAAAAGCCATGACTGGGGATAAAAACCTGAGGTTTGGAAGACCTGAAAGTGGCCAGATTACCCACCCCCATGCTCCCCTTAAAATGGCATAAAGTACTGTGTTGGGTTTTGTACAGAGTGACTGTGGCAGAGTAATGGCTATGAACAATAGTTACCCCAATGCTTTCTGCCACTGGTGCAGACCATTGCACATAGCCCATGATAGCATTACAATGGCTGATGGATTCCTCCATAAGGTCCTCACTGAAAAGTTTTGCATTAAAACAAAATTTGGCGAGATGATTTGGCAAACTCTAAGCATACTGGTCTCTCCAAACTACTTACACAAAAACAGTCTACAACATTTTCTGTCCACTTAGATTTTTCTTTCAAGCTCATCGGAATAGGGTCTGAAGAGTATTGGCCAAAACTCATGTGACCATCATAATGACCTTTGGGTACTGAACTGTCAAGTTAATAAATGAAATTTGCATGCTTCAAAGAGACAGACAGAGCATGCATGTAATGCTACTGCAGTGCTTCTAAATGTTATTTTTGACTTGAAAGTCCACTCTGATGTGTTTAGACATGCATACATCTCCTAAAGTCCTGCTTCACAAGCAGAAATTTTTGTAAGATACACTAAAATATTTTCAAAAAATAATGAGTGCAAACAGAGTGTGTTTAATGCAATGCTTATCATACATCATGGAAGAATTCGGCCGTTTCACAATAGTGCGCCACCAAGAGTTTGCAATGTGTTGGCCAATTACAGTGCGCGCAATTTGTCGACCCAATGCGCTTTTAGAAAGGGTCGACAAATGATCGGCCAACGTGTTGCAAACTCTAGGTGGTGCACTATTGTGAATCGCCCGTATTCAATAGTTTGTAAACAAATTTGAAGTAACTGAAAGTGAAGTAATGGAAGCAAATTTGAAGTGGTTCACCTCGTTTTCAGCTTCAGATATTTTAAACATTGCAAGAAACATAGGCATGACATTCTAACATTCTAACAATAGTTTACAATGTATTTCAAGACCAAGATGAGTAGAGATGCAGAGGAATGATGTACAGCATGACTGCAGTTACACTAGTGCAACTTGAAACTATGGCCAATAGATTAGTTTCCACATTATCTGCTCAGTGTTAGCAAACATGAGGCTGATTAGGACCGTTTTAACTTGGTGGCCATATCATGAAGGTAGCACACTTTCAACAGAAACCTGTCTGGACATGCTTAGTGCAAACCACGCCAAGTGTGCATGAGTCCGAGCATGCACCCCAACTACGGGGATGATGCTGCTAAGTACAAGCATGCTATCTCTGGTTCCTGCACAAAGTGGATATAAGGGTCTCTGACACATGTTTAGTGAACTTACCAATCTTACAAAGTGAGGATCTTGCCTCTGAAATACACAACCACAATGGACACACAGATTACTACTGCTGCTTTCACAGACAAATCATCAACTGCTTAACTAATAAAGACAGACTAACAGAACTGTACAGACCGACAGCAGGCTCTGTGTTTCCCCTTTGACCAAAGTTTGAAGGCTAGCTTACAACACCCCGTCTGAGCTTAGGTGTGCTCTCTACAAATGTACATGTTGGATTGCTCAGGAGGGTACAGGAAGTTAAAAAGTTGTCCGTCTTTGCTTGATTTCTAAAAATTTTACCCAGGGAAGCAAGGAGAGAAAACTGACCAGAAAGACCAACATGCAAACTGACACACAGCAGAGAGCCAAACAAACAGCCCAGTTACCTTAATATTTGTGAGGATGGTCTTCATGATCAGATACAACACCCAGACTGTCTCCACGCTGTGCTCCACCCCTGCAAAACAGTGTTCAGTGTATCCCAGATGTATTATTCATGTATGCATTATTCATACATTTTACTATTCATAGTGTATCCATTTGAATTCAATTAATCTAGCAGTGGTGAGGATGGTTTCTCTCACAACTTAGTTCTAGTTTCTGGGTCGAAGGCAAAAAGGTTTTGCAGTAGAGAACAACTGTAAATTATGGCAGTAGTGATCTTGGCTAAGGGTATCTGCTGAAAGTTCTTCTCTTTATCAAGCAGCAAATAAAAGCAGTACCCAATAAAATGACAGGTGCTGATCTGTTGCTCCATGGGTGGCAAAGGAACATTTATGATCAATAATCACTTTGTTTTTTGGTTCTTAAAATTTCTTCAGTAACTACACACAAGCTGTTTCCTTTTCTTCATATTTGGAGTTTTAATTAAATATAGAGATATTCTTTAGTTACTGGATATGATGGGATTTCAAGCTATTCATGGTGACAGACGACTAAGATGGAAAGCTTGCAGTAATCACCATGCAATATCTCTTTTTGAGTCTGTGTGGTTCTGATAAGAACCGGAGAGGCTCAACGTTTACTGGATATGCTATATGAAATGATATACAAAAGAAATCAATTACCCTCTTTTCTTTGCGTCAGAATATCCTTGGTAACAGAGATGAAGAAGGAGAACTGGTCTGGTTTCAGACTCTGCCCCAACTCCTCATCCACAACCAGCTTGTAATCCTTAACCTGAAAACAGCAAACAGTCTGGAAAGTTTAGGTATGCAATTACAGCAGTCACTGATAAATGGTGCACAGTGAAGCTTTACGCGGATCATACATCAGAAACACAGTCCATTACCAAGTGTGACACAATTTTGGCCAACAAGAACTGCTGTGGACACAGCATAGCCAGTATTCCCACATGGCACAATTCACAGGATACACAAAGAAGGTCCCACTTTCCTCCTCTTGATTTGTACTCGTTAATATGAAATGAGGACCTGCTGTAATTCTCAAGATAGTACACAGAGTACATCAAGGACTTTTTCCAATTCATCCTATGCTTTCTTTCTATTTTTGATTTGATTTGTACTAGGTTTGGAAATGAGGACTTGGCTGCAAACCGAGGATCTAACACAATTCTCAGGATAGTACAAAGAGCACATTGAGGACTTCCTCCTGTTCATCATATGGCTTCTTAATATATTGTTCGACTCCTCTCATTTGATTTGTACAAGGTTTGAAAATGAGGACCTGGCTACGAACCAAGGATCTACCGTAACTCTCAGGATAGTAAACAGTGTACACTGAGGATTTCCTGCTGTCCTTCCTGTGGCTTTTTATAAATTGTTTTCAACTCCTATCATTTTATTTGTAGACAATTTTGAAATGAAGACCTGGCAACAAACCGGGGACCTCCCGTCCTCTTATAGTGTTCAACTGTGCCCTTGGAGTACATGAAACATGTGCACTATCTTTATCATAAGGTTGTAAGTTTCTTTCCAGATCTCCCCAATTGCCACAAAAGTATGGACAAACTTCAGTAAATTCCACTTGCCTGTTTCTTTTTCCTCGTTCTGATGTCAGTTACAAACGCCTTGTTTTTCTCCACCAAGTGTTTGGTGACGATCACACTAGCTTGCTCCCCAACTGTCTCTACGTACTTCACAGCACTTCCAAGGCACAGAACCTAAAACAATTTCACAAAGCAGAAGTGACTGCTGAGCAGATTTAATGTTTGTCACAGGTCTTCAGCAAAGCTCAAGAATTACTCCAAGGCTAGATGACTTGAGACTGGTGTGTCAGGGCCTGTATGGATGTCTGGGGACTTGTTTGGACTGCACCAAAACAGTGAGGCACATTTTAAGTTTTTCAAATGTCCCCTTACCTCGGGAAAGCCAGCCACCACAAACAAGGTGAAAATGCAGGGCAGCGGACACTGTTTAGGGAGGCACTGGATGATGTTACTGATCTTCTGGGCGACAACAGCCTGCCAAGACGGCACCAGACAAAGACGCTGTAAAATACTGGCCATCAGGGACGTCCACTCAAGACCGCTCCTGCAATGAAAAGCAAATTATGTTGTAGGCAAGGTTAGAGGCATATACACACAAAATTCAGCACAAGCATAGTCTAGTCGTTAGGGTTTGTGACTCCCAATCGTTGGGTTAGGGGTTCAAATCCAGCAGCGGGTAACATGTTAATTGTGACCTTGGCCAAGTCACTTTACTCCTACTAACCACTCTCTGCCCAGATGTATAAATGGGTAACTGTGAGTGCAGAGACAACACATGTGCCTGTACAAGGCTGCCAACTGGTCTTGCCTGAGGAAAAGGATATCTGTCAATAGCAAGGTGCTTGTGATTGTTGATTTGATGGTCGGAGCTTCACAAGCATTACATTTATTACTGTTATTACTAGATTTAAGTTTGTGCAAACCCTCACTGGTAATATTCCTCGTTACACAACAGAGGTAATGTCTTAAACATGTCTCAAAACATTCTCTTGGCTGCATCTGAATAAAGATACAGACACTGTATCAGACTTACTTTTCCAGGCATGATGCTCCGAGATCAAACAGAAAATCTACGGTCAAGGCTCCTTCCATCTTTTCCTCCTTACTCGCTTTGCTTGTCTCCTCTTCATCCATCTTGAGGGCATCCTCATCTTTTGTTCCTTGGGATGCTGCAACACTGCCGCTCCCATCCGCTTCTTGCATTGTGATGAGCACTTCTGATCGTTGGATGACTCTGTCAGCTTCGTTGGGTGGGATGTGGGGAAGAAGTTGGCCCAGCAGGGCAACAATTTGGTGCTGGGTCTTATTGCTATCTAGGTTATTTGGTTCTCTGTCAAAGCGAAAAGAGAGAAGTGAACAAAAATAAGAAACTGTCATCAAACCTGATTTCAGAGAATTTGCCACAAGTATGAATACCACACTCAACGTAAGATTTGAAGGCTAGCATGATGAATTTAAACTGGTAAGTATGAGATAACAGCATGTAGGAATTCTATTCTCTCAAAACAGATTTCCTGATGTTCACATTTAACACCAATTCGTACACAAATAAAAATGGTTAAGTATGTATGAGTTTGACAACCCAAATAATCTTAACCACTTCCTGCCTGGGAGCCCGGTTTCAGGCACCATGTGTTTATACGTATGGACAAAGGGAACTGGGCCTTGCAACAAAAGACCGTACTCAGAAAAAAGACAAGGCTGCTGGGCATTACAGACATTTTTTCACTCTCAATAGTGGAGATAATCCAGCCTTGTTTTGAAACAGTATACCATGGTTTGGGGCATTTAGTGCGAGCAGATTACCACCGGGGACAAAAGCACTCCACCACCGCAGCGATGAGCAGCACAGCACCGCTGTACGCTAATCTGGCCCCTATTAAAAAGAGGTCAGCAGCGCAATGTGCCAGGTTTGTGAACAAAAGAAAGTTACATAACACCGTACAATCTGGACTCTTTTTACAAGGCTGCAGGCCTGGCTGAAATACTCGGGCGTCAATAGATTTTGTCTGTCAGACTGGAGTGGCCACCAGACAGTAATTCGTGTGGGTGTAAACGTCCATTAATTGAAATGATGAATTTTTGAAGAATTTTGAAAACTGAAAATCCTGAAAAAGTCCCGATTATGTGCACTGCATTTTTCAAACCACCCGGCGGCAAGTGGTTAATGAGCAACTTTAAAAATTACTAACATAATTCCAGACTAAGCAGATAAAGATGACACGAGATGAAGTAAAGTTGGCCTTTTTTTTTTTTAAAATAACATTTACCCAACCTGCAAGAAATAATCCTCATTATCAAAAACAAAGGTTCCAGCATGTTAAACCTACTTGGCTAATTTCAGCAAAAGAGGCAAGATTGTTCCGATGTGAAGTTCCTTGGTGTAAAGTTGCCGCACTGGGGAGCTGTCGAGCTGCCAACAAAAGAGATATATCCACATTCCCCAATGTGCTCAAACTGGAATCTGAGACAATACCTGGAAAAACTGGAGGGGGAGGGCCGACTTGTAAGCAAAGAATGAACATCAACAGAGAGTGGCCAGCAATCCACAGAAAATATCCACATTTTAAGGTCTACAGTGGCCCCTAAAAGTGAAAAATAATGGAACCTTTACCCGTGTGTTTTCCAGTAGCATAGCCCCTAGCAACCCAAGCACTTTTTCCTGAGAGTTGCTTACAAAGGCCTTTTCACGTAACTTGTTCTTGTCTTCCTCTGTCGATTCAGTCACTGGAAAACAAAACCAAAATCACTCTAAAATTATTCAGAAGATGAAAATTAAAAATGATTTTGATTAGCTTGAACAACCCCATTAAAATATCCAAACACTGTCCAATAACAAATGGAAACATTTTGTACATTTTGACATCAAGCTCCTTGTGAAGTAATGGGCTCCATGCGCAAAGAGAGAGGAAGCTTTTTATAACCAACAAACAATCTCTGTTACGGCCTCATTTCATAGAGCTGTTTAAGTACAGAATTTGCTTAAGCGGGAAAACTTTGCTTAATAAACAAAGGTTACCAGCTCAAACTCTATCTGATTGCCATGTTAACCAAAAGACAGCTAAATACAATCCCCAAACAATATACATCACTTGGCATTTTGGCTGGTTACCTGATATATCTAGCAAGGTTTTCTCGTGCTTAAGCAAATTTTGTGCTTAAGCAGCTCTATGAAATTGGCCCTTTTAGAGTGGAAGTTACACAACAAGTGGCAACCTATTTGGTATTGCGAATCATTATGTTGATGTTTTTATGTTGCAATGATGGCGTCAAATTGGAAGACTTGAAGGCACAGCAAAGGCATGCCCATTTCTTGCTCCAACAATCTTCCGGCCAGTCCGTGATGTCACATTCAACAAGGCTTCCGATTGGACAGAATGCAAAACCTCAGAGCACTATCCTTGAAAAATCTCTCGCATTTCTAAACGCAGCAGCGTATCACCCTACCGCACGGTTTCTCCCTCTAAATGTTAAGTCTCATGGGAAACTACGGAGTTATATGCCTTTCAGTGCACAGAATTCTATAACCGCTGAATCACCCTCTGCAACAATTTTGACCCTTCTACTCAAACTTCAATTCACCGGTTTCAAAGTTTCCAGGAATAACAAATACCTTCAGAGTCTTCCCCTTCTTTTATTTCAGATGGTGCCTCCTCAACTTCCTTGTCTGAAGCTTTCCCGGTTTCTTTCTCATCTTTTTTGCTCTCTGTAAACCACAAATCCGGCATTCAGCATTTGAGAAAAGATACTGTAAAAGGTATGTATATAAAGGTCTTTCGTATTTATGTATCTTACACTATCAACTACAGACTCGTATACTATCTTCAGTCTATCTAACAACCCTGGCTTGAAGCTGTCAGTTGCTAAATGGTGAATTTTTCACAAACTTTGGCAAGAAAAGTTACAATGAAGACTGCAGAATTATCTACAATAAAAAATGATAACCCTTGGAGATGAAATATTACATTTGTTATGTGACAAACTAAGAACAGCGCTTGATCTGGTAATACATGCAGGGACTCTTGTAACTTTCCTCACGGAGACTTCTGATTTCAAAGGATCTCTTATGTACTAGTGAGCAGATGAGACCTCTTAGGATCATCACTAGACCAGCACAAGATCAGTACAAGATCTCCAGTCAGATTTTAAGTCACAAGCTATTCAAATGAACTGCATTCGTTCTACAGTGTTCACTTATTTAATACTTGTAACAGGTGCACGGACTGGTCTTGTGACAGTCTGGACAACACAAATGGTACTTACCCAAAGAGGAGGTCTGGGCAACACTTGGTAGGCATTTGGTAGCAAGCTCAATACACTGCTGGAACAGCTTACTTGCAGTATGACCATACTCTTGATTAACCACTGAAATGAATCAAAACACATTAGGACTCAGACTTCACTCCATATTCTACAAGTATAACTTACTCTACGACTGAAAGGACAAAGACTCAGAAATGAGAAAATGGACCCAATTCCACAGAGCTACTGAACAAAAAACTTGCTTTGCAAATTGATGTGCTGAGCAAAAATTAGCTGAGTACCAGTCGCAAGCAATATATGTATATAAAAACATTTTGGTTGGTGCCCTGTTCTTGCTAATCTCCCCACCAGACTCCAAGAACACCGCTTGCACGGCCGACGAGGAGAATACAAAAAGTTGGCCATCATCAAACATGCACACTTCATGGACCACCACATTGAATGGGACAAAGCAGAACTCATCGCCTCAACTAGAACTGGCTCCCAAGATGAATTCGAGAAGCCATGGAGATTTTTCGGCACACCGTACCCCAAGACATCGGTTTCAAGCTCAGCGACATCTGGCGCCCACTACTTGCACCCAAGCAGACACCCACTCCCGGGCAGTAGGGTCCCCTATACCCGAAACCAACACCCCCACTCCAGGCGTTAGGATCTTCTCTGCCCGAAACACCCCCCTCATCCCTCTTGGCATAAGGGTCCCCCATACCTGAACCCATGGTTTCCCGTCAATTCCGTCACCCTGCACCCAACAGGATCCAACGCCTTCACGCAACAGTGCACACACTGAGTTACACAACCCTCAAATCCCGTTCCACACTCCACACTCCACCGCCTCCGGATTACCTTTTATAACCACGCTATCCACTCCAGTCCGGCACACTCTCCTGAGGACGGCCAGAGCACACTGGCCGAAACGTTGAGTTAACACTCAACGGCTCTTTTAAGAACCCCACCTTGCCCAAAAGAGATTGATTCCATGGTGTACCTACAAACCTATTTCTCATAACAACAATCGGTCACGCGTATCCAATGCAGCCCCTATTGAATGTGCATAAACCTGTATGTGCATGCAGTGAGATTCCACCAAAGCAACACTGATGCTGTGTAAACCCATGCCATATTGTGTAAATGCAGACGTATATGAAACTACAGGTCTGGTACCTCGACTCTGCGCAGCATGCATCATATCGGCAAGAGAGAGAGCTAGAGAACTGAACAGCAGCCAGGCATGGTTGTGGCTGTAGGTCTCCAGTAACGGGCCCTGCTGCATGCCCGAGCTGACAATCTTCATGGGAATGACCTCCACACTATGTGAAGCGGTGTGCCTGGAAAATCAATCGAACACACAAATTCAATGTCATGGTGTATAGGGTGAGTCTCCAATACTGTGGCAATAAACAGTCTGGAATATTACCATATTTGAACCAGCTATTACGTTACAAATCTCATGCAATCTGACCAATCACAAGGCCTGTTCTACCAGCCAACAATGTTACAGGGTACTTTTCTTACAATGTTGGAGCATATGGAACAAAAAACACCAACTAAAAATTCTGTTTGCACACATTTGACTTGCTATACAAAAAAAACCCATTATAGATATCCACTGTACATTTTAAAACATAGTTGTGCTTTAAAATTCGTTCTTGCCAACTTGAGATATTTAATGTTGAAGTTAGACGAAAACTGCTGTAGCAATGGGGGCATAGGGAAAGGTCACTTTGCCCATATGTGGTAATACTCCAAACTACTAAAGGCTGACATTTAACACACAAGCTGATAGGAAACTGCCACAGCATATGTGTCCCCCTGCCCAGTGGAAGTCCATGTCTCCCAAGGTGCCCCCGTTTGAAAGTTTGAAATGTACACAGCCTATGTACAAATTACAGTTAATATGCTTTCAGTGCCCCCTTAAGAACAACGTGTACACCCCCAGGTGCCCCCTCACAAATTTCACCCTACACCGACACCAACTGACAGTTAGACATAACATGTATCAAATGGTCAAAACCCTCTTTTAAAAATAAGCCTGTGTTTGAATTGGGAATTTCACTATGGCTGTGGCTATTTAACTGGAGTGGATCAGCATGAGACATCCATAGCCACAGCCGCACAGCAGGGGATTCAGATGCTAACTTTAATATACCTACCCTTCAGGGAAATCCTGCGCGTGATGACAGCCATAGCACAGGTCAAAGTCTTCACAGATGTTACAGTGGATACGAGTACCGACGATGAAGCCGTGGCAGAAATCACAGTTATACCTGCCCAATTTATCAAAGAAGAAGAAGAAAAAAAAAGCAAAATTACTGTACTGCCTGCCTGACATTCAAAAAAATTCTACTATTAAGAGGCCGACTCTGCTCTCACTAAAAACAACTAAAATATTAAATGATTCAGTAAAGTGAAGTGCGGTAATAAATAATAAGTTAGTAAGTTAACCCCTTCGCTAAGGGAGACAGCAAGAGCCACGGCTTTGTGGGAGGATTAGTGCATACCACACATACAGTCTATTCACCATGCAGCTGCTGGTTCAATGGGACCTGCTGATGGACAAAGCCCTCCATTCAGGGCATACCACAGCCCAGCAGTCACGGTCAAAGGAACTACCAGCGCGAAGGGGTTAATAAATGCAGGAAAGATGAAGCTCACTACGATGAAATTCCAGTTCATCTATTTTTCTTAGCTTCCTCATACGAAGCCAACTCAAGATGATTTGGTTTGATACACAGGCTGTTTGATCTTCTTACATACATATGGTGCCCAATAAATGCCACCAATCAATTTAGATCATCCATTATAGCTGCATGACAACACCGTACACAGCTGTCAAGCATTGCCAAGACAGACTGACAACACTTGATGGAGCTGAGTAACCTGCCAACTGCAATGATGTGGCATTTGTCACTATCCCCCTTTCTGGGTGTACATGACTATCCAGAGCATGCCAGCTCAATGGTGAACTGTTTTTGGCAAGGTGGGATTTTGAGGCTGAGAATGTAATGTTTCCAGATGAAAAATTGGCTGTCAAATCCGTATTGGCTATATTTTCAAGCATTACACTTTGATTGTTGAAGTTCCAGTATAGTGCGGAATTTCTTCTAATTTTATTTCTCATGTAATTCATTACTAAGCAGCATGAGTTGTCAGATGAAGGGTCACCAATTTCCCATGATTGTCATGAGCGTAGAAAATGTACTCTTCTCTAGATCCCCTCTCCAAGAGCTTGCAAACTGAGAAGAAAAATGACAGTTTCTATGCTGGGTTTCGTCATTATTTTTAACAATAATTACCAAGTGTACATGGTCAAATGAGCCCCTCCCCATCCGGCACAGTCTGTATTCTCATGAAAATGATGGAAAAATACGGGCAATTCACAATAGTGTGCCACCAAGAGTTTGCAACATGTTGGCCAATCGCAACGCACAAAATTTGTCGACCCTTTCCAAACGCGCATTGGGTCGACAAATTTCGCGCATTGTGATTGGCCAACGCGTTACACACTCTCGGTGGTGCTATATTGTGAAACGGCCATATCGAATGACCCCTTATCACGGACGTATATAAAAAACCTGGACTTGCAACGCTTTCGTAAGAAAAAGAAGCCAACTGGCGGCCATTTTATCGAGCCGAATACAAATGCGTAGGTTGACTTGCTTGTATTGACGTCAGGAAGAACAAAGGCAGATTAAGGGCATTGCGAGTCCAGATTTTATTATACACGTCCATGCCCCTTACCTGAAATCCACCATGGCATGGTCATCCCTATGGCCCTCAACCTGTACACCACCTGACAGAGTATAATCAAAGTGGACCATTTCAGAAAGTTCCAGACCACTTCATACTTGATCTGCTCCACCAAAAATTGACTTGGTTGTGGGAAAGTGGTCTTTTGGATTTATGTAAATATTGAACCAAATGGGCATGATTTATTTTGGACATCTTGCCGACGTTCTACAAATTCCAAACCTCCTACTGTTTGTACAGTCACAGAAAGTCAATACTATAATCCACTTTAACCTGCTACACTCCATACGCATATCACGTCAGTTGACTTATTTTGAATGAATGGAATGCTTTGTTTGCAATCTACCCTCACACCAAACCTTTGATTGGAGTCAAATGATCATTGAAAAATGGCAACCAAACTGCAATAAATAATAACTTAAACAAAATCTCAATTTCCTCCTTTCTGTCAAAAATACCTTAATTTCTTAATGTAAATTTAACTTTACTCATCACTCAACCAATATATAATAATGTGGTGACCAAAACAAGAAGCCATTACTGTGGTGGCACCACACTTGCACACAGGTGGTAAGCTTACTCTTCAAATACCTCTTCCACCATTAGCGTATTGTGATTTGCCTAATGTGCATATGTCTCAAGGTAAAAAAGCACACCTGTGAGTTTCGTGCCATTCCAGTAATGGTATCTCCTCGGTTTAGACGGCAGAACAAAAACAAGCAATCCAAGATTCACTTCAACATTTCTCTATGGGCCTTGTTACATATGAACTCACCATAGAAGCAAGAACGACAGAAGTCAAAGGCTTTGCACTCCAGACAATGAAAATGGGCTCCTGGTAACCGCGCCTGGCAACCGTCGCAAACCATATAAATCGTAGGCAGTAGACTACAGTAACGAGCGACAAACATGTGCATGGCCTGATGAAGTTGGGGGGGGTGGGAGGAAATACCGGCAAAACGAAAATCAAAACGGGGGAGGAAAAAAAACAGAGAGAAAGTCAACATGCGGCTTACCAAAATAGCAGCTAAAACAGAGATCGAGATCCCTACATTCCAGACAGTGGTAGCGCGGCCCGGGTATGTTGGCATCGCAGCCGTCGCATGAGATGATCACAGCAAGTTTGCTGCAATACCGGGCGATAAACATATGCATTGCCTGGTGTAGTAATAACACATGGACCAAAAAAAAAAAAAAAAACCATGAGTGACTGTGGCAGATCGCAATGAACGCTTTGTGAGGTTACTGTCCAACACACGGCAGATAAACAGCTGTGAGCATGCTGCTTCCTTGCAAAAGGATGGACTGGAGTAACTGCGTTGAAGTGCTGTGGTCAAAACCAGACACGTTTGTATTCTCCATGAATATTAACATTCAGTGCAATGCAACTATAACGAACACGACGTGGTCCTTGCAAAATGGCCGGTATGGCGGTCATTTGGCATGGGATTTTCAGTCACTTATGACATTTCAAGATATTTCCATGTTTTATGCCAGTTTCCCATGAGCTTTCCTTGAGTCATTACTTCAAAAACACATGCGACATGCAGTGCAGTTACACAGGTAATCATTGCTAAACTGGAACGACGATCTATTTGCTCTTTGCACACTGCCGCCATAGGCATGCAGGGCCTCAATACTGATCTTTAAACAGGCTGGTTCAGTGATTCCTACATAAATTGCTTTATAGTAATTCTGTGTGTGCTGCATAGCTCTTATACAATGCAATTGGACATTGTTTGAAAAGCTGCGTCGATGCAATTCTACAAGCTGTCAGATAGAGGCTCTGAATGCCTATGGCAGCAGCGTGTAAAGAGCAAATTGCATTGAAGCTGCAAACACACAAGCCAGAAACATGAGAACTGTCAGGCAAGTGCAGTTGAAAACAATTGAAACTAGCAAAATATTTAGCAAAGATTTCTGCCAGTTCACTTGCGAAAGCTAATTGATCTGTATATGTATTTTCTTTTTGCTTCCTTTAAGGTGAAAGTCTTTACCTTTGGAGCAACAAGAAGTAAAATTTTCCACATCAGAGTAACCAATGTTGCAAGCACATACTCAGCAGGTGATACACATGGCCGCCAGTGTATCCATGCACAAGTACCCACTAACCCATTTTTCTTTTATTTAAACTAAATTTTCAATATTCTGTAAATAAGAATGAAAATTCAGGAGCTAAGGGGGTTGTTTGGTATACCTGATTATTCAGTATGGAAGTGTTTGAAAAAGCAGCATTGTATTGCATTCACAACTGATATATTAATATATTCCTGCAGAACATGCACATATTCCCTACTGGAATACTGACAAAATTATGTCCACCATGAAATATAACAGAGTTGTCAATATAATCCACTTGAAAATTTGACTGGCATGAGATTAGCTAGACACTCACTCGTCTCTTCTCCAGCGTGTCCTGCTTCTCGATATCATTGAACCATCTTGAGAAGCCATTATTGGAGTTATCCCGGAATTGCTTGAACCACGCCATGCATTGCCTGTGGACCTCCAGCTGCTCAGCTTCGTCAGCCACACTAGGGAGCTTGTCATGGAAGCTTACATTCCCTGTATACAGTTGCGAAATATTGCTTGTTATAACAGTCCCATCTTTCAGTGATGTGGTCATCTGGAATACTGGTTGTTTTAATGGTGCCAGACTCAGTCCTTAGTCATCTGAAATACAGGTTTTATGATGATCCCAGCTTCATTTATACTGCCAAAGCCTTATCCACAAAGATCCCCTCAGTCACAGTCACAGCCTGCCAATGTTGGAGCCATAAGCTGTTTTCGCATTGGACTTCTTTAGTAAAACTTATTACTGTTATCAATTTGAAAAAATTAAATCCAGTGCAGACAGCCAGGAAACTCTCAAATTGTCAAGTGTAGATCACCAAGTGTAAATTACATCTTCCTGTCGCAGAATTTTTACAGGGCCAACTGGGTCATGGAAGAATTACATTGTCAATTTTACATTGCAGAAATGTCCTGTGTGGACATTTTGGTTATGTGAAATCTGAACACCAATAAATGGGTTGTGACCTCTGTTGTTTCTTGCTCACGATCTATACGGTAAGGTAAATCAGAGGGCACCCTTGTAAGATTCTACAACAACATGCCACTGAAAGTCATGGACTTTCGGTGGGTCCAAGTAATCCACAAGCAGATGCACGGCAGAATAACCATGATGGAATGTTACCAAACAGCAGCAGTAGTAAAAGAGTAACTCTGTACACTTTTTAGTCCTAAGAGAATGCGGCTATAGTCAGTCGCTGTTGCAATCAATATCAAAGTCAGAGTAAGTCATGTTCAAAGTCATGCTCAGTCACATTCAGTCAAAGTCACACTTAATCACTCTCAGAAAGTCACAGGTAAAATCACATCTGAATTCACTCCCTCACGGTCACATTCAGTTACTCATACTCGGCCATACTGAGTCACAGCCACTCATCACGACAATTAGAGTCGCTCGCAGTCAGTCATAGCTGGTTACAGCAGATCGCCATTACAATTAGTCTCAATCTGCCAGTCACACGTAAGCCACAGTAATAATCTGTTTCACGTCACACATAAGCTCGGAAGAACAAGTTCCTGGCTTACTTTTTGAGATGTTTAGCAGCAGCGAGGGTGCTTTGATGTCACACAGAAACTTCAAGTCATAAGGTTGCCAGTCCACATCGAGTAGGTGAAGAAGACATGCCTCCATACAAGAATATCCGGTCTCAACCTCCCTGTGAGTTAATACCAATTTCCTACTGATGAAATCATTCTCATCAATTTTTTAAAGGGGGAATTTTCTTGGGCATGGATCCCAAAACTGACCAACTAGGCATCCTGTGGTTCCTATGAATAATAACTCGTTTGAAATCAGGTTTTTGAGTACTTACTCTGACTGGTCAGTGCAGTCAAAGTTTTCAATGGCCTCAACTAGACTCTGCACCAGGAGGTAGAAGGAGCCACGCAGCCTGGCCTCCAATTCCAGTCCACAGCCATCTAATCCACTTGCATAGTGCCTGAGAGAAGATAACAATCCAAGAAAATGAACTTTCAAAACTTATTCCTGTAAAAACTATTCCTAAAACTGCTAACTTTGCCTTCATCTTTCAGAAACTATTTTTCAGGTGAATGAAACCCGCTATTCAGTACTTTTAAAAGGCTTTGTTTTACCAAAAACAAATGTGAGCAGGATCACATTTTATGCTTTTTTATACCTGTCTACAGTTAAGTTGGCACACAATATCAATGTTTAGGTCATTCGCAGTTACTTTTAGTGGCAATTAATAATGCATTAATGATGTAAAAATGTAACAAAAACTGCATGAATATAATTCAATATTTAGTGTGTGACAAAATGTGGTAAATGTGACAGAGAAGTTTAATCTGTATGCGTTTTGGTCAGTGTTGTGAAGTCTCGTACACAGCAACACATAAAATTTATGTTATTAACCATTTAATGGTTATTGAAAACACACTCCCAGGATATGTATATGAAGTTCACTACTAAGAGCCACAAAGACCAACTTGAAGACATGATACGCACATTTCTCCGATGGATTTTGTGAGCAGCATTTCTTTCAGGAACTGCAAACAGTCTGACTGGAAGATGGTGGGCTTGCCACTGGCTTTCAGGAACCGACAGGCAAACTGGTAGATGTCGGCCACTGCCTTGGCCCGTTCCTGTCGCTCTTTAAGCAGGCCTCGTACCCTGGGCAAGTGAGGGAGACGTTGCATTACAACCTTATATACCTAATGCTGCCTGTGAACAACAGAGGTCCACACAATACAGGTTTTGTAAATGATGGGGGGATTAATCAAAGTTCACACAGAGTTCACACGGGTTTGGATTATTGGTAGGAAAAGGAAAAACAGTCAAGGAAAGCATCTGCAAAAAAATTAGCTATTTAACGTTTTTTAGTTTTCTTAACGACACAAAAACAAATAAATGTTCACACAAAGTTAGCAATCTAAAGGTATGTCCATTTATGGGTATTAGAAAAAAAGAGTACCCAATGGGAAAAAAAATACAAACAAAGAAACAGAGATTTCAACCTCAAAATTGAACATGTATACACACAGTTCATGAAGGCCTGTCTGGTAACTCCCATACACGTTGTTGTGGTACACCAGGATACCAGTGTAGACAGTGAGCTTATCTAATGTGTGTGGCTTAAATTTTGGCAAGCGCCATGGCCACAAATTCCATTCTTCTTCTTTTGCGTTGTCTGGTTTTAGTTTGGATTGTTCTCGTATTAGTACCAGTTTAAAACTGGGAACAACTTCCACTGAGCTTGAAAGAGAGAATTTGATGGTAAATTTCCAACAGTACAGAGTCACACAACGGAGTGGAGTTACAACTGCATTTAAAGTCTTCTCAGAGCAGGTGCATGACTGCACACACCCATCAAGAATCTGCAGAATCGGGTTACCTTTCCACCGTGAGGTGAGGGTTTTTAACAAAGTCTAGCACCAGTTTGAACTCGGGATACTGGCTCAGCACTGTGCCTTCCTCAGCTGTGCCCTAAGAAAGGAATCAAGATTTCAGATTTGTTCAAAAATGGTTTAAATCAACCTCCCTGTCAAAATGTATTACCTTTGTTCCTCAGTTGGCTTTCTGTTTTTGTTTCTTTGGAGTTTTTCATCTTTTGCTTTTCATTAAATCATAGTCTGTAGAAATGAATTACTTTATATTACGCTTAGACATACAGCTTTATAACAGAAAATGAAGAATCCTGACAAAGATATGACACAAAAAGGCAGTAGTAGGACAAGTGAGTTACTATCAAGTGATGCAGCTCTCATGGTTTCTTTCTTCTACGATGACTTCAGCACTTCACAACATATTCTTAATTACAACCAAAAGATGTTTTCTGTTCTTAAATAATCTTAAATGTCCCTTGAAATACCCAAACTGACTGGTAAATTTGGTTCTGTCAGTTTTTTAACTGGGTCCTTCCACGAGGTTGGGGCACAATTTGTGACGGTGTCCATTATTACATGGGTTCTGTAAAAAAGAACAGTTATTTCCCTGCATGTGGATTCCAAATTGATATTGTTACACATCTTTCACGGCTGAATACAGAGGTGCGTGTTATTTGTACAGAGCAAATGACCTACTCTACAGGTCATGACAGGTGGTAAAAGTTACCGATGTAACAAGGACACCGTCACAAATTGTGCCCCAATCTCATGGAATGACCCAACTGTGAAAGGAAAAGGGAGTAAAACTTTTCTTCCAAGCATGCACTGCTCTATTGTCTCAAATGATAGCATAAATGCGTATGCAAATGGTTTGGGTCTTTGAAGTACCCATGGAAAAATTTTAACTACTGGGAAACACAGCTTAGCCCATTTTACTCTGTTTTGTGTCTGCTCCTATTAAAGATGTAAATACACCAGGTGCTGCAAAGTACCTGGAAGGCGGCATTCATCTCAGCAGAGGTCTGCCGTTCCTTCAGAGCTCTGCTCTCAAGCGACTTACTCCTTGTATAGAGGTCACTGCGCCTACGCTGCAGCTGTAAAAGAAGAAGTCCACAAGGATTCAACAAGTGTGCACCTGAGGATGTGCAAATGTTATCAAGGGAAGCTGATGGGCTAAAAATGCTACCCAATCCCTGAGCCTTTGAGGGTGAAGGTTTGTACATGATCAAATCCCTGCGACAGGTCTCTCAATGAACTTGAACTTAGCTCCTGTATTCAACCTGTTCTTGTAGAAAATATGTCTCCGTGGTGAAGCCTCGGAGCATAGCTAATTATGCGGTAGCAGTGACAAGTATCACAAGAATAATGTTTACGAGTAACGATTTGTGGCGGCTGAAAGCATCTAGTATAATTTTCTGCCCTAAATACAATCAGCAAGCAGTTTGCGAGTTTGCTCATGAAAAATATGCAAATATTTTACTAACACAAATTTTTCAAGATTGATGATTCTGGACAAGTGGTAAACTGAGAAATGACAAATGAAAAAAAATGAGAGCTGTCTAGAACATTTGAAATTCTTTTCAGAAATCAGTGACCGAGACTTCTTTTTCTTTTAATATGCCATCAATTTACAGCACTACTGTTAATTTTGTTCAGGAAACTTCCAGTAAATCATTAAAGGGATGTCAGGAGTTGACAATAAACCATACCTCCACTTTCTTTTGCAGTTTAGTCAACCCAGCAAACTGAAGCAGAAATCTTGCCTTTTCTCGAACCACTCCAACTGCAATGGATAATTGAATATGCAACACTGAATCAACACAGCATGCTGGACTTTTACTTAGAAAACTACGCAATGTGTTTCGATTTGGAAAAAACGACTGACCCTCTGTCACCCTGGATGCATTATCCAAGTAAGGCACCAACCAAGAGACAAAATATGTGGCAAGCCAGAGGGAAAAGATGCATTTACACTGCGTTATCTTTCCACTTCACTCTTTTTTCAGTGGGTAGCAGTAGTTACAAATGAGGAAACAGTGCAATAACCGTCGGAAATGTTTTACATGAAGCCTTATTCTCTCTCTTTTTTCCACTTCAACCCTCTCTCTAGCAATACAATACAAAAAACTGTGGTTAACTGTGGTATTACTGTTACATAGTTAACCCTTATGCATTTGAGGTTTTCATTAGGCACCCTGCAGAATCTAACAGAATACAACAGCTGAAAAAAATACTTTTGTTTACTGCTCCAACCAAATCCTACAGAAAGACCCTGCTCTTGGATATCGTTGAGTTCAGCACAGTAAGGGCTAATGTACGTTGACCGTGCTGTGGTGAAGTGCATCAAGAACATTTACACAAGTTCAGTCACATGCTTTTCATGAGTAACTTGGTAAACAATAACAGAGGAATGCTTTTGTCACAATTCACTTGAATAGCAAGTGACTTAGTTAAGGACCGGACATTTTTTGTGATGATCTTTCACGGAATTGTAATGGACCCAACTAAAACACTAATGTTTTGGGGAGGGTTATGTAGTAGCCTGCATATTTTAATATTTTGTACAAAAATTTGTTTGTGGGGTTTGATAGCGAGATGGTTAATAACACCTACTGGGTTCACCCTCTGAGCTTCCTGATTTGGGGTCCTTCTCCTGGGCTGCTAGCTGCTTCTGTCGCAGGTCAATCTAACAAGAGCAAATACAGTGATTCCCAAGTTACATTTTCCATCTTTACTATCACTGTCCATGACTACCTCAAATGGAACTATAAAGCACATTAAGTGATTGGGATCTGTGCAATCATTCAGGCATCCCTGTTTTACATACAGAAAAAAGATCAACACAACTTTATGAGCACTTTGTGACAGGAAAATGGTGGGTGCACAAATGCACAATGTAAAATTAATAGATAAGGACTGGTGCAGTAGCTGTTTTAAAAACAAGGCACTAACTTAAAACTCTTTAATTACAGGTTTTGACCTTATGCCAACGTATATTAAATAACACTGTATTCCCAGTGCTTGTCTGAGAACTTATGAAACTAGAAGGGCAAAGCCGTCATGGCTCACTGCTTGTTATGAATTTGAATTTCTTTCCTGTGACACCTTATGTTAAGAGACATCCAAGTCATACATACATGGCTACTAAATAACGGGTGTATACTAACCAAGCCTCATCCAAATTTTTACAAGATTGGTTGACATACGCAGATGTACAAAATATTTTATCCACCTCAGTGATAAAATTCAAATAGAGAAAAAACCTAGTTAGTGCTGTGTGCAGAGTGTGTGTTGAAAGGCGCTTGTCATTTAAAAGTATATCAACAAAGACCACCAAAAAGGGAAATACAGGTACAAAGGCTTCACAGTTCTTTACAGGAGAGAGGAATGCCTATAGAATGTGGGTCCAGTACAGTCAGACTAGACCTGGATGATTATATAAGCAGTGCGTTTGTGAGTTTGATGGATGGTGCATAATTAAAAACTCCTCTTAAGTACAGTTTTGCACTTTGTATCCATCCTCCATCATCCTATCCTCGACAATTCTAACCCCCCATCATCCCATATTTACCATGTCTACTTTGACTCCAACCCTAATCCCATCTATCTCCACCCCTCCATCATCTTGTCCATTTGTACTCTGCACCCTCCCCATCATTCTATCCATCTCTTACTCTGCCCCCTTCCCATCATTCCCTTCACTTCTTCCTCTGGCTGTCCCATCATCCCACTTATCCAGCCCAACCATTACACCAACCTTAACCAGCATTTCATCCACTTTCTACATACATGTACCTTGTCCCCATGATCCTCCTCCTATAGGTACTCCTCCCCAACAAACATCCTAATCTGCCACTTAGAGTCCCCCCATCCCTTTCATTTTTCCCACATACTGTACATGTACATTTGTATGTGTCTAAACACTGTCTATACATATGCAAGTACATTACATCAGTCAGTCAGTCAGTCAGTCAGTCAGTCAGTCAGTCAGTCAGTCAGTCAGTATGCAAGTACATTACATCAGTCAGTCAGTCAGTCAGTCAGTCTGTCTGTCTGTCTGTAGTACAGGGTTGGTGCACAATACAACTCAAAACATGAACATTCAACTTTTATATTTTTTCATTAAATTCATAAGTTTCTAAGCATTAATGCCATATAAGACTATTTACACACTGATGGAATTCCAAGAGGAAGCAAACAAGCACTCAGTGGCAGTGGCTCAGTCAGTCTGTAGTACAGGGTTGGTGCATAATACAACTCAAAACATGAACATTCAACTTTTATATTTTTTCATTAAATTCATAAGTTTCTAAGCATTAATGCCATATAAGACTATTTACACACTGATGGAATTCCAAGAGGAAGCAAACAAGCACTCAGTGGCACATTTTAACACCTATGGACCTGCAAGGGAAAACTTTAACATCTGAGGACGGACGGACAGAAGATGGAAATCGGTATTACATAGGCTCGCATTTGCTTCACAGCTCGTCAAAAAAATCACAAGATTCCTCAGGTGGGACTCGAACCCACGACCTCCGGCTTACTAGTGCTGACGTCTTAACCACCCGACCACCAAGCTCGCCGGGGTCGGCTGGCTGGTCTGAGTCAGATGTAGCAGCGGGTAAGCAAAATCATTTCAAGATGTATTTTGCATCGTGGAGATGTTAATTTTTAATTACAGGTTTTGCCCTTATATACATTGGCGTAAGGGCAAAATCTGTAATTAAAAATTAACATCTCCCGAATGCAAAGTACTTCTTGAAACTTAAATCTCGTCTGTTCAAATTCTGAAATCAAATGATTACCAAGACTGGCAGTGCATGTAAGCAATAACAAGAAACTTACGAGGAGTGGTCTGAGACCCTCAGCCGTTCTGAACGCTTGGATTATGCCATCACTTGGCTTGGACAAAGAATCAGCTTCAACTAAAACAAATAAAACCAACAATAAGAAACGAATGTAGGTAGATTGCTTGTGCTATCAATATTTACAGGATTACATGCTGTCCGAACACAACGACCTGTTCCGGCCACATTTCACTATTTTGTGGGCAACTCACCAAAACATGATATTTTCCTCCAAAGAAGAACACAAAAAACTCACTTTAAAATGACTGCTATTGGATGAATATTTTTCAGAACGCTCCCAGTTCCTCTCTCTATACCATAAGGGCCCAAGATTAAGACCTAGCTTCATGGAAGCAATACTGATCCATCCAGTGATGAACTAAAATATCCCCAGCGTATCAAAAATTAAACTATGCACATTACTATTATTTTATGCCTTCTCAGTTGAAGGAAAACAAGACTGCCAAAAAGTCTCATTTACTTTGCAACTTTACACTCAATTACAGATTAATTGCAAACTGTGGTTGGTTTAAAAGCAACGTGGAAAGAATGAAAAGCAAAAGTTACTATAGATAGGAATTGTGTCTCGAAGCTCCTGCGAGTGCCACAAGAGGGCAGCAAACACAGACAAAACGGCGCTGTTGACGAGATCCCCACCTACTGAGGGCATGTGGTAGAGTGCCTGGCACCTGCAATAAAGTCAAAACCAAATCAACTCTAATGTGTAAGGAATGATCCAAAACTTTGTTTCCGTGTATAGACAGATCTGACTGGATGCCATAACTGCGGTAGCACTGCCCTCTACACGCACATTCTTCAGCCTGATGCGCGGGTGTATGGGCAAATCATGACACCCTTCTGGTGAAAGTGGCACATAATGTGCACGTATCACCCATGTAAGAGCACTGAGCCACTGCAGTAATGGCTTTTAATTCTGATTGTTGAATTCCACAACTGATGGATCAAAGGGGATGACGAGGGGCAAAGTTCCCAAATTTCCCACACCCCCCAAAAAAGAGGTAAACACTTTTTATCTTGAAAAATACTGCCAGGCGATATATTTGTGATTGTCTCATTTCCTATCCTACCAAAATCTTGAAAAAGCCCCCAAACTTGGCCTCACCCCTGGGGAAACCGAAAAAGTTATTAAAAGTTGCCCCCCAAATGGTTCTGGATCTGCCTTGGTTTGATCATGAACAAAGTTTGCAATAATGGTTCAAATTCTTGGTTTAATTTATCAATTATATTTGAAACGTGTTTCTTACATTTTCAATTTTTAGAAGTCTTTACTTAAAATCAAAATAGCATGATAATTTAAGCAATGAAGGACTCAATCTGTTAACTCTACAACTCAATGCAACTGCTACACCAACTGGTCTATCCTCTCCTACACTGAATCACAGTAATAAGTATCCTCAAGTGTCAGGATGAAAACACAGCTATTATAAAAAAATGGAAAAAGAAACACTTAGGAATTAACCCTTTTTATATGATTTAAAACCAAAGAGCACAATGAATGGGTGCCTTCTAAGCAAAAGCCTTTTGAGGCGAATGCAAAATTATGAACAAAATATTCCTTTTTGTAAATATTAATTTCATTTTCTTGTTTTGTTTGATTTGTTTTGTTTGTTGTTGTTCTTGTTTTTCTTTTTAATTTTTTTTTGGGGGGGTAGCCTCACTTGGTAATGAACACAGATGGTGCACCAGGGCAGTTGTTTGCAACTCCACTCAGAAAATCATTGATCACAGACTCAATGGGCTCGGTTGTCTGCAACAAAGCAAAAATGGAACCAATTCTATTGAACAGTGGTACCACAATTTCCAAATGAGGTAACATCACATGCTAGGTCTACGGAGCTGACAGATACATGACTGGCTGTGCTAACTGTCAATTTTGTGAACTTGGAAAATCCAGAGATTCGCCATAAGGCTACTTTCTAAAAGTCTCACTTGGGCTTTGGGCCTGAACTTCCAGACTACGACCCAATCTTGTCCTGTGAAATTCTGCTTGTCTCTTTCTTCACAGTGCATAACAGCATAAATAAGCTGGCTGACTAAATCAAGACATATATCTAGAAGTCAGAAAAAGTATGGAATCCCAAGCAAGTCTCTTGGCAATGGACAGAGCCTGCACTGAGTACACTGGACTGGTTTACAAAAGACATTCCCTTGGTGCTCCTTCAAGCCTTTACCTCAAATCTCGAGCAGTGTAAGACTTTGTACAGTAATTTGTAATGGCATAAATTGGAAGCATGGAAAAATTCACTGATGTCGGGAAAGATTGCATGCCTGTGGAAACCTGACTCACATGGATGCCAGAGAAGGAACGGGTGAGCCTTGCAACCTCGTGACCTCCTCTAAAGAGAGTTGTCCAGAGCTCCCCCTTGAGCAGATTCTCGGCGGCTGCCTTCAGGCTCTGCTCCTGATCTGATTCGGTGGCTGGACTCGGCTCTGACTTGGCTGTTTTTAAAGAATTTAGTGAAAATGAAAATTTGCCTCCTCGCATTACTGTCAACTTTAACAGAAATTCCAGATTGTATCTGGACTTCATGCATGCATATCCCAAGCAATATGAGAGGTACATCGCCTTTGTGCAGAATCGATCAGTCCGAATCAAGATGAAAATTACACTGTGTCCCCTGCATTGGAGCTACCAGGGAGTCCACAGGCAGGCACAGTATGCAGCACAGGTTACCAGCCAAAAACTGCAATGCTTACTTCCTATGACTGGTACCCAGCTGTATAGCTCATAAATCTGCTGAGCAACATCTGCTCAAAAACTTCATAAAAGTTCCCCTGCCCACACCACTATGAAGATATCATTGCAAAAAACTCAATTTTTGAGATGTAAACAATGCCAGATATGGTTAAGCAAACAAACATTTCCAATCAGTGATATCTGAACTTACATTTGGGAGGATTGAGAAATGGAGAGCAGATCTTTCCTTGCAGTCTGGCTAAACTGAGCTGAAGGTCATACAACCAGGAAAACTGAACGTCACGGGTCCCTAAAGCAGTCACCTGGAAAACAAAAACATAAAACTGTGCAGACTCTCAAACTTGAGAAATGAATGATTTCTTACTTTTTCTTCTTAAAAGTTGTAAGAAGCCCTATTTTTTAACAAAAGAGTTGTTGCTACGAACGCTCATGCAGTCCTTATGTCTAGAAAGTTCTAGCCTATGTTTGCCATTCAATCTTGAACGTGGCAATCCACAGGTTTGATTAATACATCTGTATTTGGTCTATCACACCAAACCTGGTCAAGATGGGACTTACGGTGAATTTGTAGCCCCACTCATTGTTGCTGCTGTCCGAGTGGAAGAGAAACTGCAGGCGGTGTGGCGACTTGAAGGTGTGAGAGAGTGGCCACTTCTCAGAGCCAACTTTCTGATCGTAGACAGTCTTCTTGCCAAAGGAGTCGGTGAATTCCAGGTAATCATACCTGAAGGAATGAACACAAAGTTAGATTGGAAAAAAGAATAATAAAATGGTATATTTCTTTCACTTGCACTAATTAGTTGAGGAATCTACGACTGTGGGTCAAAGTTCAAGAAAGTTCTGGTTGGTGAAAAGCCACATTCTTAGTAAAGTTTCAAGTTGGTGCAGCAGTACTTCCACCTCTGCGAACTCAGTTCAAATCCCACCTGGGTCAATATGTTTATTGGGTTTTCCTCCCTACCTGACTACGAGGACTTCCCCGGAATTTTTGTCAAAGTTTACCTCCCACCTCTAAAACTGAGTACTCTGGTTTTCTTCGTGCTTGAAAGCTAAAGTGCCTGGGGCTTTCTTGAGGAGGCCTTGGTTTTGTAACCAGAAGTGATGCTAATCTCACCTTAACTCTGTTTCACAGCGGGAATCAAAGTCCACCCGGAAGACCTGTGCCCCCAGGCAGTTGAAGACCTGGATGGTGTGTTGGTTGTGGGGGTACTTGTGGGCAGACTCCACCTCCCACTTGCGCAGGATCACCTTCTCCTTTTCCTTCTTGGCTGTGTCTTCCTTGGTATCATCCAGGAGACTCTGGTACATCATCAGAAGAAAGAGTCAACTTTTGAGCAACCAATAACAATGCAAACTCTCAAATTCTTGAACCTCACAACACAGGTTTCCCTGGAGAGATTGAAAATTCAAACATGACAGCAAACGGAAGAAACATGCAAACAAAAAGAAGTAGAGGTACTTTGGGGTTAACGATCTTTAAACTTCTTGAATGTGAATTCAATGTTTCAACATGTCAAAAACTGGAGCAAAAAAAAGTGATTTGAAAACTGAAATCAGACTTCAATAAAACTAAAAGCCATCCAACTCAATTGAATCTCACGTCATCTAATTTTTTGCCTTTTGACTCTGAATTACTGCACATCACAAGGGTCAGTCCTTCTCAATACAAAAGCAACATCAAAGTGAATTTCAAGGCATCAGCACATACTATTTTATTACCATATCCAATCTCTTTCATTCTTAAGTTCATATGTTGAGTACACACTGGCCTCGATACTGCTATGTTTGTTAGAATCCAGACAGACTTGAATCTATCTGTTTTGAGTGGGAACAAAAGAGGGCATTTTACGATGAGATTGACAGTCCTTTGGTACAACCTCACCACAGAGTTTATGCACATTTGATGTGGAGCATACTGAGTGCGCACAACAAATTTCTTCTGGAATATAAGGTCTCCATGTGCACGCCGAATGCGTGAGGAGAACCCGGTTGGAAAATTTCAGACTAGTCTTTCTTTTGCTTGTGAGAGTGCACTTTAACTCGGGCCGGATACCAAGCATTCTGCCTGACTTACCTCTTTGAAATCATGTCCCAGGAGTTCTTGAAGCTGTTTGACTGCAACAGAGACTTGCACCATGTCACCCAAAATAACCTGGGGCAAACACTTCTCACTGAGAAGTATCAACATCAGAGTCTAGGAAACCAGATACAGGAGGCCGGAGATAGATTTTTGTATTTAGTGCCATCAGAATAGCAACCTGTTCAAAAATTTTTGAACAGTTTTAAAACCAATCAATTACTCACTGGCATCAGAAAACTAATCCATGAATTACACCTGAAACTAAAAATCGGGCATTACATTTTCTGTAATAAATTAATCACTAATCATTTTTGAAAATAAATTCCTGAAATACAAAAGGTCCTGAAAATCCATTAGCTGGGTTCAAATTTTCTGTGTCATGTGATTCCATTCTGTGACACACTGAAAAGCAAGAGGGGACTAATTTGCACATATCCAATGACTCATGACCATATGGTGACCTCTTGCATCCAACGCTGATGGCAAAGGGATATGAAGTTTAAGTTAACATGTACTAGATCTTCTGCCATAATTTGAGGCTCTTGATTATACAAAATGAACCCAATGTGTTTCAGCTCCAGAGAAAAAAACAAATCAGCAAGAGGTGTATAGTAATTAATGCCGTAGTTTGAACTCTTCGTTGTACAAAATTATCCCAAACCAGAATGAAGCGTCGATTTGTCAAAATCATTTGAAAGAACATTAACTGGGTCTTTCAACATCAGCAAAATGGCATGCTGGATCAAATCAAATAAAATGAAAATCTAATAACATCAAATCAAAAATGAAATCAAAATCTTCATACCAGTTGCCTCATTATTGTTCCAACGAAGCTATGCTGCAGCGCATCGATAAGCTTCTGCCGCTGCTGTTTCAGCTCAAGCAGGCGCTGTGGCAGCTGTAGCTCGATTCCTTGCTGCTGCTGATCGACTACAATCTGCAGCTCTTCAAGTCCAAGCTTCCCATTGGGCTCCCCTTTGCTGTCACTGTCGCCGACTGCCTCTCCTTGCTGCTGCTGTTGTTGACCCTGTTGCTGTTGCTGCCCCTCTTGCTCCTCCGCAGCAGCCCCATTCAAGGCAGCGTCTTTCACTGAGGCCTTCGGCGGTTCTAGCTTTTCTTGCTGTGTGTCAGCCTTCTTTGCTGCATTATCAACATCTGTCAGGACTTGCTGCTGCTGCTGCTCACTGACACTGTCTTTAGTTTGTGCTAGTGCTTTTTTCTCCTGCTCATCTACCTCTTGCTTTGTGGCGTCAGATTTCTCCACACCTTCCACAGTTTGTGGCGTTGGCTGTTGCTGTTTAGTCCTGTCATCGTTTGCCATTGCTGTCAGCTCCTCAAAGAGCTCCAGCTGCTGCATCTCACCACTATCTGTCCTTCTGTCCTTGCCAGGTTGGTCTTTGTCGTCTTCATTCTGCACTTCCTCCTTGTCTTTCTTGGGCAGTTTCTCCTCACATTTCATTTCACCTTTGAACTTGACGGTGTCCTCTAGTTGCCTAAGCTCATCCTGTCGTTGAGCGAGATGCTCATGTAGAAGGTTGAGGGCACTGACACTTTTGGTACATTGCATGCTGGTGTCTAAAGGAGGAGAAAAATGTGTAAATTATTTAAATCGTACAACTTTAGAAAAAATTGCAGAAACAGTTTTTTGGCACATTCACCCCTTGATTCTTTTGACCGCGACTGCTGGGCTGCGGTATGCCCTGTCCAGCAGCAGGCCCACATTGAAACCGCAGCTGCATGATGAATAGAATGTATGTGTGGCATGCACTTATCCTCACACCAAGCCACAGCTGTAGCCGTCTCCCGGCGTTAAACTGATGTGTAAGTGGAATATAAAACAATAGCTGAAAATTGCTGATATCACAAGCGCTAAGTGCGAAGCATATACAGTGTGGGGTCCGGGGCCTGCTTTAGGGCCTAGGGAAAATATTGATATGCAGATGCTCTGTAGTGCATTTTACAGCCTCCTGGTGCAACCGTTCATCTTTTTTTTTCTTGCAATTTAGGCTATGCGTACTTTTCAATTTAATTTTTTTTCATATTTGTCTGAAATTCCTGAAGAGGCTAACATGAATGGAAAGAGTTACATATGCAGACATTACTTTTCCCTTAAAATATTACAACAGCCAGCAGAAAGTGAAAAAATGTCTTAAGAAAGCTGAGAAAATACCATAGCATTTACTAAGAAAACGGAAAAAAAAACCAATGGTGCCCTCTTTTTTTCCTGTACATTAGCGCCCTCTTTTGCTATGACTCTTTTAGTATTTTTTTCTATTTTGTTAGAAATCGGAACGTTCCGAGTTTTTGCGGTCTGTAAACTTGCCTGCCCAACACGTCTACGGTGTATTCGATTCACGTCCACTCAAATCCCTCTAATGTACCTAACAACGGAGTATAGCATCATAATCTTTGGGGAGGGGTTTCTACCTTCCACAGATCTTCACAATGAGCATGAGGTTTGCTGGAAGACCACGTAATGACGTCAACTGGGGCTCTCATTCTGATGCTGGTGTATCGAGGGTTCAAACTCCTCTAATGTACTTCACAATGCATTACAGCATCCTATTTTGGCTTATATAATGCCTACCATGATCTTCACCCGATCCGCTTCGAGCAGGAACAAAAGAGGGCGCATTCTCAAATGAAAACGACAGTCCTTTGGTACGCATTCACTGCATAGGCGTGCAAGCTAATGTGCGTTTGACGTGGAGCACACGGAGTACGCACAACAAGTTTAGTCTGGAATGTATGGTCTTCGCATCCACGCCGAACGCGTGCAAGAACCTGGTTGGAAAACTTAGTGCCATCTGTCTTTCTTCGCAGGTGTGGGTGCACTTCACCTTAGGGTGGATAAATGAGGTTTGTTGGAAGAGCAAGTAATGGCATCAACCTGGATCCTAATTCTGACAAACCCAGGTTCAAATCCCTCCCAATTACTTACACTTGATTATAGCATCCTGAGCTAGCTTGATGTGCTGTGGGTTTGGCGTCTTTGCCTGCAGTAGATCTTTGCACCAGGCAATGAGACTTGCCAGTAGAGCACCCAGAAGTTTGCTGACGTATGACTGGCTCTTGGGCAGCCCTGCTGGATTCCTCAGACTAGATTCAAACTGTGTCAAAATATAGAGAAAATAAAGACATTTCAAACTGTCACCAATTCAGGGAAAGAAAAACAAAATGCAAAATTCAGGTGCATTTCCATAGCACAGGGCATCACATTCTGTAGCTTTTTAAGAACAGCATTTTGAACTTGGTCTTCATGAATGAGCACATGTCCATTTATTACTTCACAAAGCTTGTTTTGGCAATAATATATCTGTCTTTTTAATGAACGGCAAAAATTAAACACCCCAACTTCAAGAACCAGAAGTCTCAGAGAAGTGCAAACATTGTGTATTAAAGCTTATGTCATGCTCTTAAAAAAATGGTCACATGTGCTACTAAGCCTTCTGGAATTCAGTGTCATTAAAGAAACTAAGAAAACAATTCCATTAGATATTTGACCTGACCTTTTGGCTTCGTCTGGAAACTGCTTTTGAAATGGTCACCACAAACTAGTACAAACACCAACTCCAGCATGCTATGCCTGAAATGCATCTAAGCAGGGAATCTAAATTCTCAACCTGTAGCAATTTTCTTATCAGAATAATACATCCAGATGGAGCAATGACGCAAGAGGACTCACCTCCTTGTACACAACAGACTGCAGAGTTCCAAAGACACTGAAGATTGCTTGGGCATCAAAGTTCTCCTGAGGAACAAAATACCACACAAAAATTACCCTCTGATCACGGGAAATGCCAATTATCGATGAGCTTGCAAGAAAAACGATGGTGTTTTCTACCTGAAAAATGCCAATTCTACACTTCTAATATATCATTTTTATCTCATATCATGGAATATTCACAGAATACGTTTTATTCATAACAGTATTAAAGATTAACAATATAAAGCTATAACAATGCCAAAAACTCTGTAGTTTTTGTAACTTTTTGAGAAAACCTTGATCAGCAACAGTTTCAGCAAAAGGGTGGGATATAAACTCCTGTGTTTTAAATGTCTTGTCTCGTTCATTAATTCAATTTTTTTTATATTTCAGTTTCTGAACATTCAAACATAACAGGCATTTGAATATGCCATGACCAATAAAACTATCTATCTGAAACACAAGATTAATTCACTCACCTCCGTTGGGTTGGAGGGTAGACTGAGTAGACCGCTTGTGTCAACGCTTCCGAAGTGGTGACACAAAGACTGGAATACCAGGTTAGTAGCTGGTTCCACGTTGCTCTGTTAATGAGAAATAAATGCACGGTTACCATCCAGGGACGCTACCAGAATGACCAATAGCAGCCTGTTCTGTTACTTCCCCTGCACTTACTTATGCAAGTGTGACTGTGTTTAATTTGACACTCACGTGACACCTTGCACTCGCTCAGGCCTGGCCCAAGTGACTGGCCTGCCAAGCTTGTTACTAAAGGGAAGCATCCCACAATACAATGCAAAAACATGGCAGCTTAGTCGAACACTGCAAAGATAAGTTAACAACCTTGTAAATTGTTCATAAAAATGAATGAATGTTGTAGCAAATTGGCTCAAATCTTTCTAAGTTCTGTGAAAGAAAGGCCAGATATGCGTTTAGATTTCTGTTTCTTTTGAACTACTTGGATCCATAAAGTAAATTAATTTGAACCTCTTGGCCTGGCTAAGCACTTTGAGTAACCTGAGATTGTTTGCTTATAACCAGAGATTGTGTCCATCTACATGTAACAAAATCACTGGGAAAGTGCTACGGAAATAATCGAACACACTTGCTGTGTATATTAGTCCTCTCAGCTTGTAAACTACTCACCTTAAAAGTGTGAAATATCAACTCATAAATTGAGCTGACCCTCAAAAACAACCCTCAATTTAGTGATTTCATACAATGTGATTATTGCCCCCAAATGCATTACCTTAAAGTTTACAGTACAAGGAATGGAGCAATCTGACTGTTCAGTATGTCATGATGTTGATCTAGTTGCATGAAAAAGAACCGACAGTCCAAAATGTCACGTGCTTATGAAAATGTTAAAGTGCTTACACTCAGTATATCCAGGAGATGAAACAGTTCTTTCTTCCGCTTCTCTTTGTCTGGGAAGAAGACAGCAGCTCCTATCACAGAAAGAAACTTGAACAAATTGGCATTCTAAAAGAAAGTAAACTACAAGAGGTTTTCAGCCATCCCGTAACTGCGTAATGAACTTTTGCAAACAAATACTTGTAAATTGTTCAGCAAAGTTTTTTGTCACAGAATTCGGAATCCTGTCCAATATCAAAGAAGTAAAATGGGACTGAATCGCCCAAATGAGTCTTTCAGGCCATTTTTCCAGTAACACACTACACTCTCTGCTGTTCACATGCAGAGTCCAGCACTAACCATCGAGGATGGCTTCCTTGGCCGCCTCCTGCAGCAGCAACTCAGGGCCTTCGGCTGGGGTCTCCTTGTTGACCAAGTCACAGAGATGAATGAACATGACCTGGCTGCATTCCTCCCACTGGACCAACCAATCTGGTTTGGCAGTCTCCTGAAATGAAAGGAAAAAGCAAGGACGAGTTTCAAATTAAATTTTTGGACTTCACTGTGCAATGTTATTGTCACACTTTCCCCAACAGTTAACAAGTTCCACTAAAAAAAGAACAAATAAAGACAATTTTAAAACATAAATGGTACATATGCAAAACAAGACCACTTTGATATTTTCTGTAGCAACTTTTGCGAATAAATGAATACTGCAAACAACAGAGACCGAGCAAAGTATACAGTGACCAATAAGCTTTGATTCGCACTTGGTTGACAACTGTGCGCTCATACCTGAGGTCAGCATATATTTAAAGATCAATCACATTAGTATTTCACAATTTCAATTTTTATGAAATATATTTAAAACGATCTAGTCGGTAAAAATAATATAAAAATTGCTACTGACGTCAACAGCAGGAGTTGAAGTCCTCATTCATATCAGGAAAACTAAAACTGAAAGTTATTGGGAGCATCTAATAGAAGCCTGTTCTGATGACGTCACACTACGGCTCAGTAATCCAGCCTGAGCTGAAGTGCACCCTCACCGGCGAAAGAAAGACAGATGGTACTAAGTTTTCCAACCGGGTTCTTGCACGCATTTGGCATGCACACGAAGACCGTATACTTACGCGCCTATGCAGTGAGTGCGACTTTCAATTTCATTTCAAAATATGCCCTCTTTTGTTCCTGCTTGAGTGGATTATACAACTGTTTCATTAATTTGGGGCGAACACGCCCACATGAACGCCGAGCTTGCTAGTACGTAACTATGAATTAAAAGAGGTCAGACAGTGAGAGCGAAATTAGAATTGCTTTTCCATTAACAGTGTTGATCAACACTGGATCATAAGATGAAGTTGATCGATCCCCATTCGAATTGGAGTAAGGTCCTGATGAATTTCAGGCAGATGGCCGTGGTCATTTGCCAAGAATGGCATCTCATTTACTTTAACCATTTTACTCTGTTCTTGTGCCATAAAACCCCTATTAGAGCCCAAAGTCAAGAGACTCTGGGGAAACAAGAGCCGTATAATGACATCATCAAATCGAAAAATTTGTTTGTCACCCTCACTGACGCATTTTTTTACTCTGAGTGGAACTGAAGTTGAAAAATGAGAATGTTTTTATAAATGCGCAGAGAAGCTGCCATGCTAGTCATAATATGGGTAAAAATGACCAATTCTCTGTTTAACCATGTTACATCAAAGCAATGTGATTGATCTTTTATAAACTATTCACACATTTATGAACCACCAAAGATTCTCATCTTTCCTCTCTTGAGCATCCCCTTAGAGGCCTTAGCAATTTCTGCAAAGGGTCTACACTTCCAAAAACTCAGTGATTGAATATATTCATAAAGCCACAAAGAATATGACATGTTTACAACACAGTGCGCCACCAACAGGCGACAATGGAGTGGTTATTTTTGTCTCACTATGGCCATGTCCGAATTACTAGGTTGTGGCTTGAAGTTACACACAAGTCTATGATTGTGGCTACTGGCATTCCCCATGGAGTTCTTTGTAAATTCCAGCCCCAGCTGAGTGATTCTGTCAAAGCCTGCAGGAAAAGTGCAACAATCTCCACACAAATAAGTCTTTTTAGCTCAAGGATTTGGAGGCCTCTCTGGGCTATGTCTGACCTTCTGCACTGTGGCCACTGCTCCCTTGAGGGCCTGGGTGACGACCTTCTTCAGTTTGAGTTTGGCCGTCTCGCTGTCCAGCTTGCTCATGATGTGGGCATAGCTGGCGTGTAGCAGCTTGAGGGTCAGCATTCGAACCAATGTCCACTGGGGAGTCCTAAATAACAAAGCAAAAATAAAAGGGGAGGGCGGAGCAATACCACCATGAAGAACTGTACTGGTACTAAGCAGGAGTCTGTGATACTGTACAATATGTTAGCAATGTCAATGCAAAATCCACTGAGATTGTGTGTGATTAGCACCACCACGGTGTTGAATACATGAAGACTCCTGTCCAGTGTGGAGACTTCATTTTATTTTGCTTTTGAGTGATTATGCCTGTTGTGAATATATTAATATAAAAAGGATTATTGAGTGTTAAAATATTTATTTTTCAATTCAAAAATCTGTTGGTGCAACATACTAAAATAAAACGAAATAATATTCCACATGTTTGAAACCAACTTGTCCCCTTATAACCTACAAGGAAAATGATAGTTCTGCTTCTTGTTACCAACTTTTCCTAAATTATTATAATGATTATGATGTGATATTTCATGTATCAACCAAACTGCTTCTATGGGCTTGGCTATCGAAACTCCACTTTACAATGGTATATTCAAATGAATTTCAGGTTAAACATTTGAAGAATCAATTTGACCTGGTCAGATGAAAGGACCAGCACTGTTCCCTTTCTGAACATTGGCTGACAGCTTAAGACGTACACTTCAGTTTAACACACAACAGCACATTAAACAACGGCAATTCATAATGCAGCATGCCATATAAGATACCCAAGGAGTGGCTGTTTCCCACTGCACCTATTACTAGGACAAAAGCTGATATCTGCTTGCTTTACTGTTCATTTTGGACAAGAACTTGTCAGTTTTAATGTTGTCCAGTCACGGTGATCTTAGTTGGAATTGTTTATATGTGAACAATGATAAATATTGAATGAGGTACAAACGTCTTTGTGCTGTTTGGTACCACCCACAAACAATGAAGGTTGGATGATCAAGTGCAGGATAATACATGATAATGGACAGGTTGTCTATGTGAATGGCTATATGTAACTATTATGTATCTTTCCATTGTTTTGCTTCATGTACTTGTCATGATGCATATATTTAGAAATCAGACGCTGTTTCCAATGGCAGTAGTAATCCAAAATGGCAGCCTCCATTGACAACCTTGTGTCCCAACTTAATCTCAATTTGAAACTTAAATGATTAACAAATACACATTCAGATATTTATCCCATTTTTAATGTAATCATGCATGATTGAAATGACTGAAAAAGAAAACAAACAAAAAAACAGCAAATAAAAAATCAACACTTGACGTGTTTTACATTGGCAAGTGCAATTCTGTCACATGTGCAGGCTTAATAGCAGATAGCAAATTGCGCATAATGTCACCAGACCACACAAACTGATGCTCCATCTGGTGCCCTAACCGTATCTTGCAAAGCCTCTCTTACACATGCATAATATCAAGCAAGCAGTTGTACAGTGACCATTTTAGTTCAGTGTACTGTGAATCATCCGTAACAATCCTCATAAATTCCTGAGAAGATTTTTAACATTTGGCATACAAGTGGCCTGCCATAAAAGCAAATCTTTACTTGAATGCCACAAAAACTACAACATGGTGCTCTTGATAGCAGCAAAAGCTGTCGAATGGATGGTTGCAAGATCCTACTTACGTGGTCGGTACAGAGTAGTAGAACTTGCTGAGTAGATCCAGTGACAATGACTGCATGTCCAGGGCACCCACTTTAGAATTGGAATTCTCACCTTTCTTTATTTCCTTAAAATTGAAAACAAAAATCAACTCTTTGATATTATATGAGCCTCTTGACTTGCTTCAAACTTTTTTCAAACCACAGACAGGTGAAATCAAGAACTTTTTTCATCTTTTAAGGAGTACAAACAAATGTACTGTTGAAAGTCTGAAGGTGAAATAAATCATAGCGGAGATGCTCTGAAGCACGTTTGGACAGGCAATGATCAACACATCAAGCTTTGAGTAATGCAAGTCTAACATTTCCTCCACAAGGCTCAATCATTACTTGGTTCTGTCTTCAGGTTTTAAAATGAGCCTAATTTAAACTTTATAGGATATCCATATGCAGCTGTTAGCCCAGCCAATTTTCTCTGCTTGGATCCTGCAGGGATGCTCGGTGAGTCACCTTACAGATGTAACCCGTCCCAAAACAGGTCTTGGGTTACAATTTCAAATTTTATTTCTTTATGACTATGTTTTCCTTTTCCTTTTCTTTCCTGAGCTTTTCATGATATGTGGGACGGAGAAATGTATTCCTAGGGAGATCCTGTCTAGTTTTAAGATTTGTTCTAAGCCAATGCCTCAGATATTTTTTCCCTTTACATGTTAACTTACATGCAAGATGGTATTTTATTTTCAGGTCCATACACGATGTACAGCAACCAAAGCGCGTAACCCATAGAAAGTCGGTTGTGTTGGTCTGACCTCGTAAATGTTTTTATATTAGTAATGTGGCATGGACCACTATGCTCTCTTAGTTACTGAACTGCATGTTCTGAAAGAGGGTCTGGAGGGGAGTCTCTGCAGTCCGCCAGAGGAGCTGTCCCCTTGGCATCCCAGCCACGAGCTATTGTGACTTGCAGACACAGCACAAGTACACCAAGGCATCTGTTGCATTAATTACCAACATCAACCTTGCAAGATCCGCAAGTATTCCTTTCTTCTGCTTAACTTTTGCTCTTCACTTTTGCCAACTGGCTACACAACATGACGGACTCCTGTTCTCTCACCTTGGAACGACTCGTCCCAACTCATCTCTACATCCAGAACTTTGGCGTCATTTTTCCCTTGAGCTCAAAGTGTATTCTAGCTTAACAGGATCCTGCATTTTCTGTATATCTCTTATTTTAATTTATGGCCATCTGAATTGGTGTTCTCTGCATTCACTTCATATTTCTCATACTGATTGGCTTGTTTATTTCCTCCAATAAAGCAAAATCTCTTTCGTACACAAATCCTGAATTGTGTGAGGTCAAAAGTTTTTTCAAAAGGGAATTAGATTTGGTTCCTGCTATTTTGAAATGTGAACCATGGGTTACACGTACATTTCCAATGGTAACAGGAGAATTCATGTGCTGTGGTTACACTCTGTTACTGATATAACTAGTCAGGGTTTTCAATCTGCTCAAGAAAAAAAAACACACTGGAGTCCACTTGCGTCTGGAACCTAACCAAACTCAGTCAACTCCTTTACCTGATATTTTGACATCCTAACAATGAAATGAAGTACTCTGATGCACAGTTCGGCAGAAGGGACTGGGACATCCTGGTCAAATGGAAGTGGTGAAATCAGCAACTGGAAAGAGCCAAACAAATAAAATAATTCAATAAACATAGTGTCAGAAAAAAACAACACCACATTACTATTCGTGATCTGCCTATCACTAACCGGCAAGACTGTGTTCAAGTTTATAGCATTCTGATTTGAGCAAATTTCTGTCAAAATGATATTCTGAAAATTGGGCTTGAACTTTGTAGACATTTCCTGCTTTCCTCTTTGAACTGAGCAAAGCTACTTTCAGCTATGGAAGTAACTTAGAGGGAAAAAAATCCATTTCTGAAATTTATCCCTGACTGTAACCATTTCCTCAACCAACTTTACCTTGATTGTATTGTCCATGACAGCCGAATTGGCAACATGGCCATAGAACCTGATGCCCAGGATTCCAAGCCTCTCTGCATTGACAGGGTCTCTCGGTCTCAGGAACTTGACCAGGATGTAGCGGCCGAGGGTGATCTCATCTAGCTGAATGTCCACTTCATCCCTTGGGGAGACAGAAACATCAGTTTAGACAGATTTCTTTTCAGTTCTACAGAGTGATGGACAAGAGGTAGGGTCAAGTGATACAGCTTTAACAATGGGCAAGGTTTTATAATTCAAGTCTTTTATTGCAAGTGAAGGCATTCAGGAAATTCTGGACATACATCAATGAAGCAACGATTCCAGGGAATAAAGTGTGAAAAGTCCCTATAGAGTCTAAGCAATGACTTTTTTGGCTACAATCATTGCAAAATACACCTTTGTGTTTCAATTGACCTTGTTTTTAAGTTTCGTTTTCCTACTGTTGAAGATATTTCGGTGCATTTGTAGTTTTTAGGCTCATGCAAAATGTCCATAATCAAGATCAAACTGTGTCACTATCAGGAAAAACCTCAATGCTGCATTGACTTCTGCACAAGCACCTGCTTGCTGGCATTTTTTTATTCACTGTAATGTATTAGTGCATGGCAATAAGTCAATGAGCAACCCTTTCTTAGAAATGTACGAGCAAAGTTTGGCTTGACAGTGTGGATAGAAAACCATCAAACTGAACAGTGTCTCCCCTAACACTAACCCCAAAAGGATGTCAAATAAAATTTTTGTGCATTTAAGAAGAGTGTACCGTGTCATACAGTGTGCATTTAGGAAAGATTTACTGCCTAGATGCTGTCCAGTGAGGAAAGAGAAATGAGGTACGAGAGGATAGAGCTGGGTGCAGAGGTGCTGCTGTGGAACAAAAACTGCCCAGTTCCGACGCATCAATGCAGAGACCATTCATGATACGAATGTAGCATGTAGACTGATGAAGAACTCACTCAGGGCCTAAACTTACCAGTCATTGTTCAGAGTGAAGAAAGCAACGGGGTTGTCTGGCTTCCCAGCAATGGCGGCAGATCTAACATGCAAAGCACATCCAGCCACAATGAACAAGGTTAACAACAAATGGAAGGGTTGTCTAACCTTGCACATCAGTGGAGACTTTTCACTTGAACCAACAGATTTGCCAAAAAGATCCTACCTCGGACAAAGTAAAGTGTCTAAAGGGCCAACTGTTGTAATCTAAGGTGTAATCCATGAGGTCCAGTATAATTGCATAACTTGGTCAGATTTCATCTGTTCCTATTCTGTGCTTACACTGTTTACCTTAAGTATTATCAATATATAACTTTAGAAAGAACACATGCCAAATTTTGGTACTCTTGGCTGTAACATGACATGTATGTCACTGCAACATTTGATCATGCTGTGTTACTGGTTAATCCTGAAGGAAATCTCGGATTTTGTCTCTCCTTTTTGAAACAATACTATACAACCATGAATAAGAAAGGAAAGGTGATCGGTTGACGGTAGAAAGATCCACAGACTTTGCCAAAGGATTGACTGATCACATCTAACAACATCCCGTTTGGATACTCATAAAAGTCAAGTGGTATTTAATCTTAAGATGGCAAAGCCAGGCTGTGGTTAAACAAGATATCAAACTCTTTGCTACTGATCATTTGTCAAGAGCTACCTTAGTCCCTGAAGAATACGATACTCATTGGGAGTCCAGGTGTCATACTTCTCAAAATTGGCAAGGTGACGTTCCAGTTCAAACTCCTCCCTAAGTAAAGAGTTAGGCATAACACAGATACATTAAATTACATAAAACATTTGATATCGCAGATAATTTGATTCATGGGAACCATGTAACAGCTCCACAGAAGAGATAATACCACAGCATCTCAGGGTTCCATTTTCAAATCCAATTAGAGGTTGAGCTCAAGTCTACCCTGGGCCCAATTTCATGGTGTTGCAAACAATTACTGTAAAAATGTGCTAAGTATAGTAGAAAATAATGCTGCTGAAGCACTCTATTACAGCGTGGTTGTGCTCGCAGTTGCACATGCATAAAAATGTTTATTGTTACGCCACCCATTTCAGCAACTCTTCCTCAAAAGTTACAAGCATTTTTAACCTGTTGCTTTATCTGCTTAATGGTTTTTCTGCTTAGAGGCTCTGTCAGCACAAAAACAGCTGCTAAGCAGCAGTATGAAATTAAGTCAAAGACTCACTGAGATGGTGCACTAACTCTGAGGTTACCTCAAAACCAAGAGACAAACCAAAAGATCATATGATCTCAACTCACTTGTCATCATAGACAAACACAAAGCCTGCTGCAGGTCCAATTGCTCCTTTACAAACCTACAGAAAAATTAGCCAAAAAATAAAGTGAAAGCGCCATTTACTGACAGAAGCTTTAACCCTAACACTCCCAAATCCTCCGATTTTAATATCATTTTACATACACCCTTGGGGAGTTAGGGTTTTAACACAGTACAATAAAAGAACCAGTTTGCATATTTCATGTACTATAACACTGATAAGGAAATATCACAATTTTTTTACTTAGTAAATTGTGTGCATTATTAATTACCTTGATTTGTAGCTTTGTAACATAGACAGGAGTTTCACTGACAAACAACATGTTGACTTTTGTCTTTTCAGACAAGTATGCTGCAAAGTGCAAAAGAGGTCACATTTAAAGGTTTCTCAAAGTCAGACAGCAATGGGCAAGTTCAATGAAGGACCATAGTTAACCATAGTTTGACTAACTCTCATCGAATGAATGCTAGTCTAGTCAACTTTTTGTGACTGGCCTATCGAGGTTGGTCGCATCGTTTGTTGCCATAAATCGTTTGTAATAGCACAGTGCAGAGACGACCAGTTATAAGAACAATACCGGAAAAACAGTATGTCACTAGTAATTGACGATTTTCACATTTCTTGTTTCTTTTTGCTATTTTGCCCTTCCTGCGGCCATCTTTTCTCCCCTTCGGCCTAAGGACTTGATAATGGTTGACTCGGGTCGTTTGCACCTCAGCTTCACGGAACATGCACTAGGAAGTCACAAACTAACCACTAGTTAACTAATGGTCCTTCATCGAACTTGCCCCAAGACTGGTTCAAATCTGTTATTATATATGAAGGAAAAAAAGTCATTTTGATGTAGTGTTACAACCAACGCTACTGACTCAAGTCATTGCCTTGCACTCCTGTTAGACTTGAGTCAATTTTTAAAATTTGTGATGAGAATTCGGGAAAAAATTATTAATGACTTGACTGAAAAAAGTAAACTTGACTTGACGACACTTGTAGGAAAAATGGCTCTTGACTTGACTTGTAGAAAAGATGACTTGGTTACAATATTGATCACAACTTGCAAGCTTACGGTCACTTGTCCAGCTGCTGGTGAGCACTTTGCTGGGGCCAGAGAAACTGTCCTTCTCCCCACCGTCACATCCTGCTACAGTCACAGAAAACTGGGCACCTAAGGGAATGCAGAGACAAAAGATTCCTAAGATCCTTTGGTCAAGTACAGAACTGTGAATCATACCATCATTTAATAACTAGTGTTTTCCAGTTCTTTTGAGACTTACTGCTAAATATTGAACTGGTTAGGTGTGAACAAAGTGGAAAAAATACGGATATTGGATAATGAATGCAAAAGGGTAAGAACACAAAATACATTTAAGATTTAAGACAATCCCAGACGTTTTCCAGGAGAAAAGCACTAGGAAAAGAATTCTGTCTCTTTTTTAAACCAATACTGCAATAATCTTAAGTCTAAAATCTTCCTATTTCCCATTTACTGTAAATTCTTCAGCCTTGTTCCTTTCTAACTGGCTCAGTATTTGGCAGTAAACCTGGGACTTGAAACATACTCGACTACAATATTGATAATAAAACTAAACAACCTGACCCTGCAACTCAAAAGTAGCTGCTAACCCTAACAATAAACCAAGTGTGTCTGGAGTATCCACGCTGCTGCAACCTACACGCCAAACAATGAGCCAGTACAGTGATTTAAAAAAAGGCAAGCTTGCGTTGGTGTAATATCGAATTAAAAGAAAGTCTGAGGTGTCATTACCAATGGATACAAGCATGAAGACAGAAAAAAACTGTGCATGAATTTAAGCCTGAACTGTATGGGATCCCTTTACTCTGCTGTTTAGATTTCAAAAAGGAGACATCACCTACTCACCGTATTTTCTCATCATTTTCTCAGCAACCGCATTCAGCGACTTCAGTAAATTGACAGCCCCTAGCGTGTCTTCCTTGCTTTCTGTCAATGCCAACAACAAATTTAAAGAACACATGACATATCTGACCACGAACGTTAGAGTTTCTTATTGCATGAAAATGACAGTCATTTACCGTGGGTTTGGAAACACACTGCAGAAAAACGTCTAATTTGAGTGGTATAAAGATTTTGAGAGAGAAAAAGTGAATGACAAACAATCCACATTTTGATCAGTAATACTCTGCTCATTATCTCCAAAAGCTTGTTGATGGGTTTCTCCAAAGCCTATTAACAAGTTTTCAAATCCTAAGCTATGTGTAAATGCCATACTTGGGACTGGAAAGAACATGGGCACCTACAGAATCCATTGGCCTGTGGCTTGAGCAAAAACCCCTAACAGTCCTCAACTTTTGCCGGCAACTGTTAA